ACCTGAAGAGCAAGAAGCAACGGGGCAGCACAAAATGGGCACTGACTGGATGAGGAGTGGATTCCAGGATTAACTCTGGCACCAATCTCCCGCGCAAGACCCTACACAAGTCTCTTAAAACTCTCAGGGCCTCAGCTTCCTTGAAGGCAAAGCAGAACAATAACAACACTCAGACAATGAAACCCTATGGGGATTAAATAGATCCCACCAACAGAATTTGCATACAGTAGGTGCTTAGTAGTTTTAAGCTCCTTTCAGTTCTCTGTTATCTCACAGGGTTGTAAAGACTAAATAAAATGGGGGAGACAAAAGGGCTTGGCAAATTGCAGAGTGCAAGGGCAGTATGAGGGACAAGGAATTTTCTTGGAACAAACCTCCAGGCTCTCAATCACCTAGCATATTCCCAGGGCACTAGGAGGCCCGTTATGTCCAACACCATCCAATCTACAAGCACAAACTCTGCAACAGAGTATCTGCTTCTTACCTGTTTACGAAAGTTGAACCAGGAAGAGAACAGATGGCCCTCCTTGTACCCTCCTCACCCAACAATGTTCCCATCAGAATTAACTATTCACTCATCTTTTAACTTAAACAAATCCAAACTTTACTCTTGGAAAAAGGATAATTTGAAAGCATTCTCCAGCCAGTAAAAGGAATTGTCAACACTTGCAGAGCATCACGGACCTGACTTGGGGAACTCCTGGTATAGGACACCAACCCCCCAGCGGTCATGAAGCGTTTAGAGTAAGGCAGTAACCTTCCTGGGGTGCCTGGTGTTTCAGTTGGTTTAGCATCCAACTTCAGCTCAGGTCATGATCTCACAGTTTGTGAGTTCGAGCCCCGCATCAGGCTCTGATGTGACAGCTCGGAACCTTGAGCCTGCTTCGGATCCTGTGTCTCCCTTTCTGTCTCGCTCTGCCCTGCTTGCATGCTGTCTCTTAAAAATGAATACACAGTAAAAAAAAAAAAAAATTTTTTTAAGACAGTAACAGGGCGCCTATGTGGCTCAGTTGGTTAAGTGTCTGATGTCGGCTCAGGCCATGATCTCACACTTCGTGAGCTGGAGCCCTGCATCAGGCTCTGCTGACAGCTCAGTGTCTGGAGCTTGCTTTGGATTCTGTGTCTCCCTCTCTCTGTCCCTCCCCCGCTCACACTCTGTCTCTCAAAAAAATGAATAAGTTTTAAAAAAAAATTTTTTTTACTAAAAAAGACAGTAACCTCCTGAAATTTGTTTAAGAGAAAACCTAGAAACAAAAGTACTTTTTTTTCCTCCACACTCCTTAGTCCCTCATACTACTGCTCACTCTGCTCTAAACCATGCATTCTACTTGGGAACCACCTTCTAGAAGCCCAGGTAGGATGGATACAATACACAGGTGATTAAGTCAGACGGTGGGCTTATCCACGCACTTAATCAAATGCAACAGGTTACAATGGCTGTGCGAGGCACCAGGCATCAGATGGAGTACTAATTATCCTACCCCTTTCCAACCTGGACCCAGCAGAATGGCTCCCACAGAGCGGGGGAGGGGGGGGCAGGGAGGGCCACTGTGCCATCCACGAGGCAGTGACCAGAGAAGGCACCATCAACGTTCACCAGCGCATCCATACAGCGGGTTTCTGGAAGAGTGCCTCTCAGGCCCTCAAAGAGATCCAGAGATGTGCCATGAAGGAGATGGGAACTCCAGAACTCCAGATGCGCACACTGACGTCAGGCTCAACAAAGCTGCCTGGGCCAAAGGCCCACAGAAAGGCCCACGCCCAAAGCGTGTGTGCTTGTCCAGGAAGCGCAGTGAAAATGATGGGTTCAGCAGACCAGCTCCGCACAGGCCTTACCTACGTACCTATAACCACTTTCAAAAATGTACAGATGGTTAATGTGGGCGAGAACCACCAGACTGTCAAAGAAAGATATAAAACCACCCCAAAAATGGTAACAACACTAATTACCAAGGCCTCAGACCACAAGCCCAATGCTTCGCAGCTGCAGGACACCTTTGGGTGAATATTACCTCTACTGAAGGCTCCCTGAGAGCCATTTGTAAAAGTATTTGTGGCCCAGAGCCTGGCACCCTTCGGCACTCATGAGGCCGCTGAACTAAACGGATAGGATCATTCAGGTACCAGCCCCACGCAGCTGGTGAGAGGTATTATTTCATGAGCGGGTAAAACGAGGACCACAAAAGAGTGACCGTCGAAGCCAGCTAAGGAAGGTTATCTTTGATGTTAGCCACCCCCCAAAAGAGGGCTTCTTCACCCTGCACCCAAGCCCAAGTTGCCACTGTTCCCAAAAGCCACCTCTTTTCCACTCACACCGGTGAACACGGATACGCGTGCACCCCGTTCCCTGCCTCATGCACCTGTCCCAACGCACGGGGGTGTCCGCTTGCTGTCTGTGGAAGTCCCACCCACCATCGTGAGCAGCCCTGGGGCTCAAGGAAGCCAGTCTTAGCTCCCCGGCTCTTCTGAATTCTTTCGGCCTCCTCAGACCCCTGAAAATCCCCACAACTCAACTGAGCCCTTAAGCACGGAGAGGCCTTCTGTGAGCGCTCATTGTTCCATGTGTGTCTGCTCTCTCGCTTGATACCATAAGCCCTTTGAGGCCCAGGACCGCTACGAAATGCCAGCTCTCCCTTTTGCCAGCTGACCAGAAGCTCTACTCTTCTGAGCCTCAGTTTCCCCATCTCTAAAGTGGGAAGGACAATAAAACTTACTCTGCAGAGCAGCTGTAAGAAGCAAGTAACGGCTGTAGAATTGCTTTGTGTAAGCTATAACCGCTGCTGTTAATCATCAACTTTGTTGTTATTTTATTTCTCTAGCCCCTCCCTCCCTTCAACCACCTGGCAATACTTTTAAAAGAATACTAACAACACTAAATGGCATGAAAATCACTTTTATGCCTTGTCACAACAGCACAGAATATACATCAGAACCTCATTCTATCCGCTCATTATGTATCTGAACTGTGAAATTAGCTAGGCCTTGCCTGCTGGCTGACTGGCAGCAAGGAGGCTCCCCTCTCTTTATGCTCAAGTGCCTTTTATAAGGGCTGGTGGATCTGGGACCTAGTCACAGGTCACAGATGGGCCAGTGTCCCACATATCCTTTCCAGATAGCAAATTCAACCCGAACTTAACTATTCTGTTAACAGTGACAGCTATGATTTATTGAGCCCCTACTATGTCCCAGACACCATGCTAAGTGTTTTATGTCCATTATCTCACTTAAACTGTACTACTCTGTGAATATGAATGTCTCTCCCTCAGCAAAGTAAGCTTCAGAAGGGTCACATGATTTTCTAGGGTCACACAGCCAACAAATGGGTAAGGTAAAACTCAACTCAGGCCTTCCTGGCAGAAGGATCACACTCTTTCCACTTGCTATGTACCCCTAGAACCCTAATATTTGTATATTTTTAAATGTCCTTTAACTTCTACCCCGTGTCAATTACCTTGGCATTTCAAAGGTGTAGAGCTTCCTACTGTAAAGAAGGTAGAAAAGAAAAAAAATTCTTTCAAGTTTACCAGCTCCCTCCGATAACTGGCTGGAACTCAATACCCAACTGAGCAATGAGGTTTTGGAATATGGCAGTGAAGACAATCTAGGCAGACATGGTAGTCCAGAAGGTGGGAAGAGACTCTTCGGGGGCCCAGCGTCCCTCATCCCTTACCCAGGACCTTACACTGCAAAGAAAAGGCTCCCAAACGCCAGTTAGCCAACAGAAGAGGCCTCGATAATTTCACAGACCCCACTAAAGGCTGGTAAGTAAGCTGAAAAATCGTAAGTGAAGCAGGAAATAATCAAATCATTACTGACTAAACCAGCCAGGCCCATAAGGACACGAGAGTCCCGGCTCATAAAAGACGTTTGACCAGTCCTTCCACAAACGAGGAGGAACCCAGTTTTAAAAGACACCAACCAACATTCTCGACTAATCACTTGGCATAGCTTCCTGCCTTGGGAGAAACGGCAAGTTACTTTTTTAGTAAAGAAATCTCATAGAGTGGGGCCATTCTGGTGTTCTTTCACCTAGCCTTAGGCTTTCCTTACCCAGGATACTGGCCATCTCTGGGGCCCTTTTCCAGGTGCCCAGAGCTCCCACAGAGGATTAACGGGAGCTGCACAGTACCCCTCTCTCTGCACTGTCACCAATAGACTTCAGCTTTGGGCAAAATTAATAAAACAGGGAAGCAACAGTCAATGTGCAGAGACTACTATAAAAAATATCAAAACTTTAAAACTTGAAGGGACCCACCATACCTCACCTCCAAAAATCTCAAACCAGAAAGAGCAGTGACTTGCACAAGGTCATACAGGGAAAGTCACTGGCAAAGACCCTACTGAAGCCTAGGATTCCTGATTCCCAGTGCAGGGCTCTTATCATTAAACACCACAGCCTCCCTTCTTTCCCAGAGGCAGTGCAGGCATGCCATCCCCAGGCCAAGATAATCACCCTCTAGGAACACTTCCCCCAATCCCAGTCCCTCCTACAGCCTAGCTGAGTTGCAGCTCTAATTAGCAAGTCTCAGAGCAGGGAGTATTCTCTGGGAGGGTGCCCGGGTGTGAGGGCTGCTGGTACTGAAAAGAGGGACAAGGATGGAGGAAGAAGGGTGTGGGAGAACTGGGTCCTGGCGGCAGTGGCAGCGAGACTGTCAGCCTGGATGAGGACGCACGCAGTGGCATCTCCTAGTAGGCGAGGAGGTGAGCCGACCAGCAGCCCGCACCACCTCTATGAGCCAGGAAGGACCGGGCCATAATCGGGAGGGACGCGCGGAGCATCGCCGAGTCCGACGTGGGCCTTGGGGCGCCGCCTCGCAGGGTGGCACCGGCGCCGTGAGCAGGCCCATTGAGCCCGTGGGCAGAGGCCCGACGGCAAGGATGCCCGGGCCGCCCGTGAGGTGGCACCGGCGCCGGGCAGAGGCCCGCGGTCCTCACCAGCCCCGGCCGCCGCTGCCGCCTCCGTCGCCCACCCAGATTGCCCACCCTTCGCGCGGCCTTACCGAGACACTGCCCCACCGGGGTGCTGAACGGGTTTCCCAGGAGGAACTCCATCTTGAGAGGACAACACGGCAGCGGCCCGGGCCCCCTGTCAGCCGCCGGGGTATCCGCTGTCCCCCGTCGCGCTCCCGACCTGACTGACACTTGCCCCCGCCCCACCCTCCCGAACGCCGAACGCCCGGCCCCTGACCCCACCCCTTGTCGCGTCCCTATTGGGCAACGCCTGACCAGCCCTTCTCCGATTGGCCCCTACACCTCCCTCGCGAAGCCCCACCTACCCTGCGGCGTCCGATTGGTCGGAGCGGCGAGCTAGGTCACAGGAATCTCCGTCAGGCGTAGCGGCACCTCCCCTGGTCCGCCCCCGAATGGGAGTCTGTGTATTTTGATTCATCTATATATTGGTCAATCTAGTGAATCCTTACTATTATTGGGCAAAAGGAGAGTCAATCACTCACGTAGGAGGCGGGGGGAGAGGCGGGACCACTAATATCCCTGCCCATAGAAAGCGCTGATTGGAGAAACATTTGTTTTTTCTACTGCTGGTTGGTGGTAGGAGTATTTCCCCACCCAAGAAATGCTGTCACGTGACCGTCAACTTTCACCCAGGATGTCTACCTGCAGACTTCCCCTTAGCAACCGACTGGCCGCGCTTGGTTCCCTTAGCAACCGAGCGAAGCCTCTGCTGCGTGGAACCAGTCCGGTAGCCGGCGCTTAAGACGGTGAGACCTTGGACCTGAGAGTGCGGGAGGACGCGCATGGGCAGACAGAACCCCGACTTAAAGCTTGCCTCTGACCTTTCTCTCTGCGAGTCGGCCCAGCGCTCCTCACCTACAAAATAAGCACACAGGTTCTGTCAGCCACTTACGGCCGGCCGGCTGCGCTGAGGCCCTGGCCTTCCAGGCCTTCGGATGAGAAAAAAAACGCTAAGGAAGCATTTCCCCGGGGAGCAGGGCCCAAAGAGATTTTTAGGGGTTCCACCCCCGGCCTCCTGGCCTGATCTCTTTTATCAAAAGTTACCCGGTCCACTGATAACTTCTACAAGGGTTTAACCCTCATATCTGACCTCTTCACTGTCATAAAATTGTGTCTCTTTTTTACTTTTCTTCTTCACCTTGGTGCCGTATAAAGTATTTTGGCTTGGGATACAGTTACCCGAGTTCCTTGTCCGCCTCTTGTCAGTATTCATTGTATGACTTTGGACAATTTCCTCCCCCTCCCAGGCTTCCGTTTCCCTGTCTGGGAAATTAGAGAATTAGGATTCCTTTCTCCAATGGCTTCCAGAGCCGACATGTAATCAAGTAATGAATGTGCATGCACTTAGTACCCAGTAAGCACTTGGTAAATAGCTGATTTTTCTTATTAATCCATAGCCAATAGGGGCTTTGTTTTTCAGACTCGAATGATCCCAAGTTCTTGTTTCACTGGACAATTCTGAATGGTTTTGTTTCTCTGTCAGGAGGCTGCTCCATTGACAGTGGTGTAACACTTGCTGCTGCTTTTCCCATCTCCTACCTCTGGTCTTCACCAACACTATTGTCAGGCAAGTCAACAGGACCCCAGATTGGTGGTAAATTATTGATAAAATCCCCCCAGGGGACGAGCAGTCGGGCCTCTGCCCTGAGCCAGAACAACTGTGAGAAATGCTGTGCCCTGTGACAATGAAAATCCACAGTGCCCTGGGTACAACTGAATCAGAATTAAGGAAATGGCCCTGGAGTCCTGTTCTCCTGTCTGTGTCGTATACCATATAGACATATTAGGCACGTTACTCAACCTTTCTAACTAGCTCCCATTTTCTTATCTGGAAACTGCAGATGATAGTCCTACCTATAAATTAAGTTCCCAGCGATCTTTCAAATGCACATCTGACCACCACCCTCCTCACCTCTCACCTCACAACTCCTGCATTTCTCAATACTACAGCCAGAGTGAGCTTCTTAACATTGAAAGCTGATCACATCACTGCCCTTATTAAGGCCCAGGAGCTTCCCAGGGATCCTAGGATAATAAACTCCTGTAGGCCTCGCCAACCGTTCACCCCTCCAGCCCGTAATGGAACGTGTCTCATTCTCTCCCTCCTCAGGGCCTTCACTGTGCAGTTCCCTATTCCTTCCTTCCTACCCATCCTTCAGATCTCGGCTCTGTCTCCCCTGGCCAGGCCAGGTGCCCCGGATGCATGCTGTCCTTGTTCCCTACATCTGCAAACTTGTCATGGTTTGTGATTAAATATTTGTATGATTATCTGATTCACGTCTGAAACAGAGACAAGGAGATCTGTTTTATTCACAACATGTGGTAGCTATTCATTACACATGTGTGGGCTACAGAAATGATCTTAAACAAATGTAGGAAGGAGGAATTATCCATTTTTACAGATGGGAAATCAAGGGCTCAGACAGATGAGGTTAGCTGCTGAAGGATGCACACTCGGGTTCCAAATCCTGCCCTCGTGTGCCTAACAACCGTTCCACGTTGCAGAGTGATTGTGGGCTTGACTGAAAGCAAGCCTGATCCGTCCCAGGTGCCGGGCTTACATGAGGTGGGAGTGATGAGAATGCAGTCAGAGTTTTGAAATCGGAATTGAGAAGCATTTCCCAAAGTGCGGCGTTTTTCTTTGAAAACGCACAAACACTTTGCAGGTAACATCTGCCAACTCCAGCACATTAAAATTTCCCCAAAGGCAAGTTGGTGTCAGGTTATGGGAAGTCTTAGAAAAAATCGTTTCAAAAGAGTGGGAGATGGAAAGAGGGGGAGGACTGGAAACGTCTTTGGGAGTTGATTCATTCACCCTAAGGAGTTGGAGCCAGCGTTGAGCGCCTGGAGAGAGCGGATGATGGAAGGCACGGGTGAAGATGGAAGTGCTCGGGGGTGGGAAGGGGCCCGGGGAGGCCGTGGCTCCTCAGGAGCAGAAGGAAAGGACACACGAGAGTTAAAGGCACAGGGACATTTGATCACGAACAGCCCAGAAATGGAAGATGCATATTTAGGTAAGCTGCATCCAAGTGGATAGTGGGGGAGAATGGAGTAGGGCAGCGGGCAGTGGCAGTGTCTAGGGCCAGGTGGCCAGAGCGCCGGGCCCACCCCAGTTCGCAGTGAACACCATCAGCCCGACACTGGGACTCCCTCCAGCAGCACTCAGTGGAGTAATACAGGGACTGCCCGGCATCAGGGAAGAGGGCCGGGTGTTGGGGACGTGAGAGGGCGAAGGTAGATGGTGAGGCCAGCAGGAAGGTAATTCACCCAGGAGTGGGAAGAAGGGAGGACTGAGTTTCCAGAGGGTTCAGGAGGCAGAAGCTGGGAGCTTTCAATCGAAGTGTGCCTTCCTGTAGGGTCCAACCCTCCTGGATGTTGATAAGGATGAGAATGAGGTCGGGGTGCCCAGGCTTCCCAGGGCCATGGCTCTGTCCAGCCAGGAACAGCAGCCCAGGGTCAGCCTATGACTGACTCACCGCACAGATCCCCTGTTAGCCTGCAGAGTCTCAGCTGGATCCCGTTGGCCTATTAGCAGCAGAAACCTCGTGGAGTCAGTTTAAGTAAAAGCAGATTTACTGTGAGGAGTCAGGAAACTCTCACAGGGCCTGGAATCAGGGACATTAGGGGCTGGACAGCCCGCAAAGACTGTGTCAGTCTGTCCGCCCTGTTGTCTTATTTTCTGGATCACCCAGGTTCCAATCTCTGTTTCTCTCCATCCATCTGCCTCATCCCCCTCTTGTTATCTCTGCTTATGCACACATCTGGCCCACCCATGGCCCCCCAGTTCCTCCCCAGCTCACACAGCCAGCTCCGATGAGACTTTTATCCCACTTCCCCAAGTTCACATTCCTCAAGGGGAGACAGGAATGGCCAGCTTAGGTCAGTGTCCGCCAGGGTCCGTGCGCTGGGCAGCTTGTGGTGAGGTGGGAGGAGTACAGATATCACTGCCTGGTGGGGATGAGTATCTCAGACGGGGAGCCACAGGCTGCTGCACCTGGCTGCTGCCACCAACGGTCATGGTCAGCGGTTGGTGGCAAGACAGTGAATAAGTGTGGGTGACGGAAGCCAGAGGCTTTGACGGCCGTGACCATAAGGGGAGCTGAGGTCCCAAGGCTAAAGAGAGCAGTGTGGACCACCAGTCCACTGGGTGGGGGTAGGGTCACGGCCACGGTTGTGGGACCAAGGGGTGCACCCCTGCGGATGGGCGCCAGGCAGGACGGGTGCAGATGGTTGCTGCTGGAAAAGGCCTGGAGAAGCCTTAGTGCAAAAGGACTAGCCTCTAGGAGCGGTGGGCCACTGACCAGGAGGGGGCAGCCCCAGAGCATCCGTGGCTGACACGGTGCTCCTTAAAACGACCCCAGCCAGCCCCTGTTCTCAAACAAAGGGAAGAGCAGACTGTGGAAGAGAAACGTGTGGTGTTTTTTTAGGGGAAATGAACCGGCCGTACAACTCAATGGAGCCACGAGTGATGGACGAGGACATGCTGAAGCTGGCTGTGGGAGAACAGGGCCCGCGGGACGAGGCCAGGCAGCTGGCCAGGCAGGAGGGCATCCTCTTCAAGGATGTGCTTTCACTGCGGCTGGACTTCCAAAGTGCGTATGCTGGGCCGGGCCGGGGGCACCAGGCAGCCCAGCGCCCCACCCCTGGCTTCTCTGCCCCGGAATTCCACGCAGAGTCCAGTCCGGGATCAGGGGGCCCGAGTCGGCATGCGGGCCTGCGGGGGTAGAAGGCATAGGAATGGCAGAGTGTTTGCATGGTGAATACTGAGTATCATTAGCATTTGAATATCCACAACACTGCTGATTCTGAATCATAGGCAAGAAGATAAAATTCTTCCACTCCAAATCTAAGTGAACCCAAAGACCATGCTGCTTCCATCACAGACTCCACATGGAATTCTTGGAGTGGGGGCCCCGGGCAGGTGGAACCCAGGAGGGTGGTCCCACGGGCCAGGAAGAAGCCATGGGGGGTGGAAGGGAGCATGTGCGCTGGGCCAGGAAACAGGAGAGGCGCCTCAGGAGCTGGAGGACATCCTAGAGGGGAGACATGGTTTGGCAGGTCCTTAGTGCCTCTGTGTCCCCATCTGTAAAATGGGAAGATTATAGTCCATTTCTCAGGCGCTGGTTGGGAGGAGAAAGTGAGGTAACACAGGCATGGTGTGTGGGCTCAAGCAGGCCGGTGGGTCAGGACAGAGGGGGTGCGAGAGCAAGTGAGGGAGGTGGGCGGGGTGCAGCTGGCTGGACACCAGTGACCCGGGCTGCTCCACGTTCCCGCTGTGTCCTGGGTTTCTACACTGGCCTACCGGGTCATCCAGGAGACAACAGGGCATTATGGAGGCCCTGCCTCAGCCAGTGCGGGTCGGACCACGGGGACACAGCAGTGGGCAAGGCCGGCACAGCCCTGGCCCAGGCCTCACGAACCCATGGGTCTCCCCAGAGCGTGGCCTCCACGGCTGACCACCCAGGGCAGGGAGGGACCTGGGGTCCCAGCCACCTCAGCAGCAGGAGGGGCGAAGGGACTGCAGAATGGCTGTCACCAGAGGGGGCTTCAGCCTCCTTTAGCTCACCTCCTCCCCTTTCTAAGGTTCATTCTGCCAGTATTTATAAAATGCCTGTTATATGCCAGGGGCTGTCCTAGGCACTAGGGATTCAACGTGAATGAAAGATAAAAGATAAAAACCCCTGTCCTCATGGAACTGATGTCCAGGTTGATGGGAAAAATAACGTAAGATAAAAATAGTATAAGTTAAAGGTAATATGTGCTATGGAGGAAAATCAAGGAGAGGAGAAAAGGGGAGTTGGGGGTGGGGCACAGCGTTTTATTGGGCAGTCAGAGGCCTCATGAAGAAGGTGACCATTGAGCAAAGACTAGAAGGAAGGAAAGGAGCCACATGGAGATCCGGGGAAAGCATTCCATGCAGAGGGAACAGCCAGAGCAAAGGCCCTGAGGCAGGCAGCCCTGTATGGAAACAGGTCAGAGAGGTGGTGGGTCTGCTAGCATCAGTCTGGGGGACCAGCAGACGGTGTTTGCCTTTTATAGTGAGTGAGATGAGGGCCCCAGGAGGGTCCTGAGCAGAGGAGGGACAGGACGAGACTTAGTATTTCACAAGATCCCACTGGCTACAGGAGGATAGAGTGGGGCGCCCCAAGGCCAGAGCAGTGAGATTAGTGAGTGAGACAGTTGCCACAGTGGTCCAGGAAACAATGACAGTGGGCTGAGACCAAACCTGGGGTAGTAGAGGCAGATCCCGTGTCTATGTTGAAGATTAAAATTGGACTTTTGGAGCAGTCCTGTCATGCTAGTAACTCATTCAGAAATGGCGAATACCTCGTGGCTTTTGCTGTGTGGTTTTAGCTTTTCCACACGAACTGCTGATGCCTGAGGAAGAGGCAGCACGTGGGTGTGCAAGGCAGGGCACCCAGGGTGCGGGTGCCACCCAGGAGAGCAGCATCTCCAGAAAGTCGGCCATACCCGAGAGCTGTCAGTCTAAGAGCAGGGCCAGAAAAGGTTCCTGGAAAATCCAGACCAGGATGGGCCGTGTCTGAGGTCCTGGGGCACAGCCAGGCTCTGCCCCGGAAGCATAGGTGGAGAATGCGGCTGGGATCCTTCTGGGAAATCTGGCCCCAGACGCCAGTCCCACTTGCCCCTGGGAATTGCAGAGGCAGGGCCCTGGGTCAGAGAAATGCTATTGACCCACCTCCCCTCTGCCCAGCTTGGGAAGGGCAGCCAAGAGGGGGTGCCCAGCCTCCCCCAGGGCCTCACAACCTCTGAATGAATATTGAAACCACTGCCCCCAAATGTGTGGTTATTAAGTGTGCTTTTTTTTTTTACCCTAAAATTTACTTCTGTAATATTTCAGTTCTTTTAATTTTATAAGTTTTAGAAATCGTTGCAAAGGCGAATATAGAAAAAAAGGAGGCATGTAAACAGCAAAGCTATAATGGCTGCAAGAGGAAAGTGGGGACAGGTTTGGGCCTCTAGAATTTTACGTACACAGCATATACTTATGTACAGTTCAGCATCATTCAGAACTCCTCTGGCTGTCCGTAGCAGAGGCCTAGCTGTGCCTGGCATCAGGAGCAGAAAGAATGAGTTGGCTGTGTATCCCTGAAGGTGGTCTTTAGGGACAGCAGGTCAGGAGCTTCAGGGACATCAGGCACCTGCCTCTCTGTGATATGGGTGATTTACGCCTCTCCCCATATATGGACACCCGGGGGTCCCCCGATCTTTCTGCCTCTCATGTGCCTATAGGTATTTCTTTGGGCACACACGCAAGTGTGTCTTTGCAGACGGATTCCAAATAGAGGAATTGCGGGGTCAAAGGGCACAGACATGAAATATTTCAGTAAACTTGGCCAAATGGCCCTCCCAAATGGCTGAACTAGTTGACTGACACGCTCACCAACAGTGCACAAGGGGTGGGCGGTGCAGGCGTTCACCCTGCACCCTCGTTTGATTTGTCACGCAGTGGCAGGAAGGATGCTGCCGGCGTGCCGTGCCCCGAGCTGTGACAGCTTCCTGGGAAGCCTCCTAGCTGGACGCTAGAGGCGGCACGACTGAGTCCCATCCCCTGGGCAGGTTGAGCCCACATTCACGACACCACTATCTCCTCCATTGGCCTTTTAGTTCTGCGGCGTTCCTGGGTAGAAGCACCGATCACAGCCCGCTGTGAGCTAAGACTCGTAGGCGCTCGGCCCACATCCCCAGGGCACTCGCACACTCCAGGCCGAGGTGGTGGAGTTGTGGGGCCCTGTGTACGGTCTCGGGTCTTCGGTCCGCCTGCGCTGAGCTCTGAGCCATAACCCCAGGCGCCCTCCTCCGATTGTTTCAGACATCCTCCGCATCGACGGCCTCTGGCAGTTTGAGAACTTGAGGAAGCTACAGCTGGACAACAACATCATTGAGAAGATCGAGGGCCTGGAGCATCTCGTGCACCTGGTCTGGCTGGGTAAGCTCCCCTCCCCCCACACGTGTGTCTGCCCTAATCAAACGGGACGCTCTGCCAAGGTCATTGCCTCAAAGGCAGTTCCGCTGCCCGCCCGGCATTAGCCAGGGTACAGTTGAAGGTCCGTCTACTGGGAACAGGAAAGTGGCTCTTTTTAAAAGATTGGGGCCTGTGCTGGGCAAAGCCAGCAGAGATGCTTGGACAGGCCAGGCCAGAAATTTTTTTTTTTTTAATGTTTTATTTATTTCTAGGAGAGAGAGAGAGAGACAGCGACAGCGTGAGCAGGGGAGGGTCAGAGAGAGAGAGAGTCACAGACTCTGAAACAGGCTCCAGGCTCTGAGCTGGCAGTCAGCACAGAGCCCGACGCGGGGCTCGAACCCACGAACCGCGAGATCATGACCCAAGTGAAAGTCGGATGCTTAACCGACTAAGCCACCCAGGCGCCCCCAGGCCAGAATATTTTTAACCCACCTGCCAAACCTCCCTATCTGGGAAAGAGTCAAGGGAGCCACTGGGGTTGACAGACAGCTGTGGGGCCTGCCAGTCAGGGGGCCCAGATCAAGCCAGAAACAATCATCACAGCTGCTAGCGAGCTTTGAGCTCAGACTACCTGCTGAGCGTCTGTATGCTTTCCTGGTGAGGCCTTTTAATCCATACATATGCATCCCCATTGTAGAGATGAGCAAAATGAGGTCTCAGTGAGAGGCAGACCATAGCCAGGTCCCCTGACAGCTGCGCCCAGGTCTTTTGTCCCAGGCAGCGCCTCCTGGCACGCCGGCACCCATTAACTCTGAGTCTGGTCTCAGCAGCCAGCCTCCTTGGCATTGCCAGGAGGCATCTTCTCCATAGGAGGTGAGAAGGATGATAGGGTGCTGGGTCAGCCCAGACCCTGAGCCGTGCCTGCTCTGGAAAGCCTGCCAGGTACCAGCTGTCTGAATGCCACACTTTTAGGAGAGAGCTACCAGGCCCAGCTGTCCCTGAGACATAAAACAAGTGTCACATTTGTTTCCATGAAGTACTCCTGCGATACCCAGGGTTTCGTGCTACGGGGGTGAGCGAGCAGAGGGGACGTTTCTGGTAAGAAGTTAGGTTAGGGGCGCCTGGGTGGCTTAGTCGGTTGGGCATCCGACTTTCGCTTGGGTCGTGATCTTGTGATTCGTGGGTTCGAGCCCCACGTCGGGCTCTGTGCTGGCTGCCAGCTCAGAGCCTGGAGGCTGTTTCAGAGTCTGTGACTCCCTCTCTCTCTGACCCTCCCCTGCTCACGCTGTCTCTCTCTCTCTCTCTCCTAGAAGTAAATAAAACATTAAAAAAAAAAAAAAAAAGAGGCCAGGTTATCCCCCTGAGAGAAGCTGGCCTTTGTCAGTCACAGCGTTAGTCACCCAGGGACCCAACCACAGCCAGGAAGATCTGGGTCCCTGGGGTGGAGGGGGTGGGGGAGATGGTGTCTCCCGCTGTGCAGCAAGCCCCCGCCTCTTGCGAAGCACTGCTGGTGGCCCGTCACATCAGCTCTCCAGCTAGGACTGGCTCTCCCACTGCGCCTTCAGAGATGTCAGGCCGGTAGCTTGAAATTGGCCATGATGAGAGGATTTACCCCATTGAAATGGGCAAGCGCTGCAATTCAAGGCCTCCCCACCTCTTCCAAACCCTGACCTCCCTAACCCCCTGTTAAACATTTACCAGCACGCAGCCGGTTCTAGTGGGCCGGGGCCCCACCCCCGAAGAACAGAACTGGTTGCACAGTTGGGAGGGGAGCGGGCAGGCTTGGCATCTGGCAGACTCCAGTTCAAGCCCCAGCTCTGCCCATGTGCCTCTACACCAGTTCCTGGAACCTCTGAACCTCAGCTGCTTTGTGTCTGGGTGATCTTGGCCATGTACCCCCAGGGTCCCTGAATCTTGGCTTCCTGGTCCCTCAAACTCAGACGATGAGGCCTATGTTATGAGCATTGGATAAAATGGTGCACTTATAAGAGAAAGGGATGATAAGTTACCATTAGTCTCAACTGTCAGCCGGTGAGCGTCTCCTGATACACCAAGGAGGCTAAATTCAGGTGTGGACACACTGACTTCCCAAGTCACTGTTGTAATGTGATGGCATGCGGCTATCATGAGCATATTTCCCAGTGCATGAAAAATCCCCAGTTTGGGCCACTGGGCCCTTGGTGTTCCAGGACAGAGTTGCAGCTCCAGCCCCAACGGATCCTGAAACACCCTGGGGCGGGGCAGTGGGGGGGAGCAGTTTTATTCCCTGGGCTGTGAACCTTGGGCCACAGAGGGCCTGGCGGGTCGGGGTCGGGGTTTGGGAGGATCTGAGTCAGCTGGGATGTAGCTGGAAGGTCCTGGACTGCTGCGTGTCTGGGGAGGAGCCCTGCATGGACTCTGGCGGCATCGTGGTCGTGGTCAGCTGTGTGGCTCCGGGCAGATCACTGAGCCTTTCTGAGCTTCAGCTTCCCAATGCTCAAATGGGAGAGAAATGCCGAGCTGCCACTCAGGGCTGTTGTCAGAAGATGTACTCAGAAGTGCTTGATAAACTGAGAAGGTCTAAGCAAGCAGGTGGTATTTTCATTAAAACGTCCATAGGTGTGAGGGAAGGAGGCCCTTCAGACTGTCGTCTCCTACTCCGAGATGCACCGTTGTGGACATTTCCATCATTTCCATCCCGGAACACCAACAGAGCACAGACCTGAGTATTTGGCCACATGTGTCCAGCCAGGAAGACAGGGGGCAGAACTGGAGAGGGTGGTATAAGTTTGAGATGGCAGGGAGGGCACCTGGGTGGCTCAGTTGGTTAAGCGTCCGACTTCGGCTCAGGCCATGATCTCATGGTTCGTGGGTTCGAGCCCCGTGTCAGGCTCTGTGCTCACAGCCAGCTCAGAGCCTGGAGCCTGTTTCAGATTCTGGGTCTCCCTTTCTCTCTGACCCTCCCCTGCTCACACTGTCTGTCTGTCTCTCTCTCTCTCAGAAATAAAACATTAAAAAAAAAAAAAGTTTGAGATGGCAGGAAAGAATCCGTGACAGCTTCTAGAAGACCATAAGCTGTCAGTGAGTCGCTTACCAGCCTGACAGCTTGGTGCTGGCCCCCAGAGCAGAGGCAGCCCCAGTGGGCCCCAGAGCAACCCCATCCGGTAGACCCTTACAGGCCTCTTCCTTCCAGACCTGTCCTTCAACAACATCGAGGCCATCGAGGGGCTGGACACCCTGGTGAACTTGGAGGACCTGAGCTTGTTCAACAACCGGATCTCCAAGATTGACTCTCTGGATGGCCTCGTCAAGCTGCAGGTGCTGTCGCTGGGCAACAACAACATCAGCCACATGATGAACGTGAGTAGTCGCAGCTGGTGGCACTGGAGCGGCCGCTCCTGCAGGGCAGACAGTGGAGCCGGGCATCAGACGGCACTGTGGTAGCTGGGGGGTCAGGAAGGAGGGTCTGTGACCCCGTGGTGGTGGGGGGGATGCAGCCTTAGCCTTCAAGATGGTCCCATTTTCCTAGAAAAGCCAGAAATCCAGATTATTCCACCAGAGATTTGATCATGTTTAAATACCGTGCTTAGCCCATCGGTGGCTACCAGTCCACACTTTCCTTCTCCCTGAGCCCTGCGCTCGCTTCACAAACATCTGCTGAGGTGAGGACCTACTTACTGGAAACAGGCCGTTTGGCCTGAGCTCAAGGCTACAGAAACAAACAAGATATGGTCCTTTTGGGGGTGCCCAGCACACACACCCATAGCCAAGACATGAAGTGACAAGAAGCCAGTGCCAGCCCAGGACATTTGTGATGTGAGGGGAGGCAAGCTGATGCCCCCTTGCCCACCCCCAGAACACGTTTGCAGCAGTGAGCTGGGGGTAGGGGGCGCTCTCCTCGCCTCTTTCCAAGGCTGCCTCCCTCAGCTCTCAGAGACCTCAGGGGCCCCTGACTGAAGGAGGGCTCCCTGCTATGACCTCTCCTGCCCCATCTCTATATTCTTCCGGCCCCACCCCCAAACAGTAATGATGTTATTTGCTCCTTCAAGCATTCTGTCCGTGTCACTAGAATGTGACCTTGTCATAAGGGTGGGGGCCACATGAGCTTTGTTTCCACTGTACCCCCAAGGCCTCACCTATGCCTCTGAGGCCCGGTGGTGCTTAATCACGTTGCTGCACAAACAGACGACGGAGAGGAATTCCTCGGGGAAAGCATGCTAGGTTTCTCCGCCACCTCTTGCACAGTGCGGCGTCTGGTGTGCAGAAAATGCTCTCGGATGAAACAGTAGCTGCCTTGTTGACTTTTCCTCATTTTCCTACAATAGAGTATGGGAAGAATAAATGGCAGGTAGCGAATGTCCCAGTGTCATCCAGCCAACCCAAGGGCAACTCTAAGTGGGTTTCATTTCATCTAAGAGATCTGACCCTTGCGCAGGGTTCACGGTGAAAAGGCACACCTGTTCTGAGCCATGAGCAGGAGCAACAGCAGCACCATCACCATTTACAGAGCAGGCGGGAGGCACACATCTCATTGCTTTTCGTCGCTCGCTTCCTTTGGTCCTTAGAGCACCTATAACACACGTAATAGCATCCTTACACACATCTTACAGATGAGGACCTGGAGGCTTACAGCCGTCGTGCAACTTGCCCAAGGTCCCGGGGCTGGGCTTTGAACTCAGGTCTGCTGATGAAGGCAGCCGTCCAGCCTGGCCCCCCGCCCCAGCCCGCTTCTCGCTTGTCGCCCCAGCCAGTGCTGAAGGTGTCGTGGCCAGGCCGCAGGCACAGGCAGAGTGACGAGGGGAGAGGCCACCGGAGGGGCTTTCTGCTCTGCGGCAGCCAGGAAAGTGGGTTATCCTCCACCCGCCCCCCCCCAGATCATCTACCTGCGGCAGTTCAAGGACCTGCGGACGCTCAGCCTCTCTGGGAACCCCATCGCGGAGGCGGAGGATTACAAGATGTTCATCTGTGCCTACCTTCCTGACCTCGTGTACCTGGACTTCCGGCGCATCGATGACCACATGGCAAGTGTCCTCTCTGGGTGTCCCAGCTCTGTGAGTCGGCCTTCGGGCCCTCCAGGCTGCGCGGAGAAAGGCGCGGAGGCGGAGCTCCTTTGCCAGCGGACACCTTTGACCTGCCCACGTGGGCACCACCCCAGCAGGACCCTCATGCCAGCCGTTCTGTGGCTGCTCACGGCAGCCAGATCCCTCCATGTGCTGCCTCCTGGCCGCGTGCAGCCACCCTGCACTGTCTGGCGTTCTGGATGGAGAAGCTGGGGAGACCAAGGGAGGGCCGGCCGTGAGCAGGCGTCAGCATGGTGACGGCTAGCTGCGGTCCTGTGCTTATCCGCCACGCACGCGTTGCTATTGGCGTCGCTTTCACCGCAGCCTGTGAAATGAGCCTGCACTCGCCCTCAGCTTGCCAACCGGGGGCTGGCACCAGCGAGGTACCTCGCCGGGAGCTCATGGCCAGTGGTGGGTGGGCAGGCAGCCTGGCGGCAGAGCCCAGTAAGGAGGGCCCTTCCCCTGTCCACTGCCTGGGCTGCCCCCTTTTGCTCACTTCTTGCTCTTTGCATTGTGATCATTCTCTGGGTCCTTTCCCCACTGGAAGGAAAGAACCTGGCCCAGTACCTGGGGACCTTGGGTGGCCGAAACAAATGTCCCTGCACATTGGGTGCTGCAGAGACCGAAGACTGACCTGTCTGCTCCTTCTCACAGGAAGCTGGTGCTTCTCCTGAGAGTAGGGAGCCTGGGCTTGGGGGCACGGGTGATGGGGAGCACCCGGGAGCGCCCAGCAGGAGCAGGGAGCACTCGTGCACAGGTCTGAATGCTGACCCTGCCCAGCCTGCACCACGGAGCAGAGCCACAGCGCCCAGGTGGGCAGTGCCACCTTCCAAGTGTGGCGCCCTCTGGTCGCCAGTGCCTTCCTGGGGGGCCCACAGAGATGGGGTGAGGTCAGAGAGGGGCCCCTCTGAGGACCACGGCTTTCTGTGGTTCCCATGACACTACCAAAGCTGAGACTCGGATTCTAATACTCTCAAGTGTTTTGTCTTTCACGTGGATAAGAGTTTGAAAATCAACCTGGGCTCACATGCTTGGAATAGGCCAGAGAGCTGTTGGGGTATGTTTCAAAGCACGTTATAGAACCAGGGGACAGCCTCTGCCACTGCACAGTTCCAAAGCCCCTCCCCAGGCATTCTCTCCTCTGTCCCCAGAAGTTTCCATAAAGGGCAGACAGCCCAGTCTGGGCATCCCCATTGTGCTGCAGGGAAACAAAGGCTCCTTTCATGATTCAGAGACTTGCCTAGAAGCATCAAGATAAATAATGAGCAAAAGGTTTGAAGAGCACAGTTCTGCAAAGCAGGGGCACCTAAAACCCCCCTGTCCACACTACTGGCTGCCCTGAGGCCGGCCACAGCCTGCCCCAAGCCCCTGGCCTCTTGGTGCTGTAGGGCCTGGGCAGCAGAACAGCCGGGCCCCGATGCAGGTCAGGGGAGGGTCCAGAATGTCCCCCGGGTCTCCGGCCAGGGTGCTGGATGGCTGGGGGGCCGCTCATCTCAGCGGGACCGTGGGAGGACGGAGGTCCAAGGGCAGGCTCTTGAGGTGCCTCTCAGCTCTGTGGAGCTGTCCTTGAGGGCCCCCCCTGTTGTCATTAGACCACTTTTAAGTGGAGCCCTGCACTGTGCCTGAAGGCTGGCCCTGCCCCCAATCCAGCCCTGAGGAACAGAGGACAGTTCCCCACAAAGCACATGGACTGGGCAGGTGTTATGAGCTTGAGGGCCTTTGTGTGGGGACGTGGGGAGACAGGCAGGTGGGCAGGGGTCAGTCAGCAGGGCCATGCTGGGGTTTAAGGGTTCTCTGGTTGGAGGCCCGCGGGGGACCCTGAGAAGTTTTCAGCAGAATTCATGATGTGGTCAGCAGTTCAGGGATCTGGGGGACAGAGGTTATAGGGGAAGAGATGGGGGATGCGGTGGGGTGAGGGGGTGGGAGGGGGAGAGCGGGAGGGCAGGGCTGTGGAATGGAGAAGAGAGGCGGGCTCACATACTAGAGACTTTTAAACATTTGGGGCACCTGGGTGGCTCAGTTGGTTAAGCATCTGACTTTGGCTCAGGTCATGAACTAACAGTTCATGGGTTTGAGCCCCACATTAGGCTCCGTGCTGACAGTACAGAGCCCACTTGAGAGTCTTTCTCTCTCTGTCCCCCCCTGCTTGCTCTCTCTCTCTCTCTCCCCCCCAACCCCCCACCTCTCAAAATAAATGAACATTAAAAAAATATTTTAAAAAAGGGGGCACCTGGGTGGCTCAGTCAGTTAAGCTCCTAACTTCGGCTTAGGTCATGATCTTGTGGTTTGTGGTTTCGAGCCCCATGTTGGGCTCTGTGCTAACAGCTCAGAGCCTGAGGCTGCTTTAAATTCTGTTAGGGTTAGGGTTAAGCTTAGCGTTAGGGTTAGGGTTAGGGTTTGGGTTTGAGCCCCGTGTCAGGCTCTGAGCCTGGCGCCCGCTTCAGATTCTGTGTCTCCCTCTCTCTCTGCCCCTCCCCTACTCGTGCTCTGTCTCTCTCTCTCTGTCTCTCTCTCTCTCTCTCAAAAATTAAACATTAAAAATTTTTTTAAAGAATTTAAAAAACTATTTTAAAAATAAAGTATAAATCTGTAAGAAAACAATATAATTGTGCAGCTGAATGAATAACAGTTCTTTAGAAGGATTTCAGCTCTGCAATGAAAGCTGTTTGCAGCCAAGGTCCAAGTTAAGGCACAGAACTACAATGATACCTATGCTAACCTCACGTGCAGGAGTGAGACAGGATGGGCTTCAGGCAGCACAGGACAGTGGGAAGAAAGCTCAGTATCTGGAATCCTACAGACCTCGAGGAAGCCCCTGCCTTCCTCTGTGGCACCCACGCAAAGGGAAAGGAGACAGACAGATCACCTCACAGATACATGAAAATACCAGGAGGTGTATGAGATGGGGGCTGGTGGTTCCAAGCGTAGGATGAGTGGAGTTGGCTGGTGAAGGGGTAGGGTTAGGGCAGAGCACGTGCCAAGGCCTGTGGCAGAAGGCAGCGCCATGAGGGGGCCGATGGCCGGCACTCAGAGAGCTGGATAGAGAGGGTGGCGGGCAGGGCCTTGCAGGCCATGGCAGGAGCTTGTCATTACCCTACGTCCAAGAGGAAGTCATACAGGGTAAGCAAGGGACCTACAGGGTTGGGTTTGTGTTTCACAGGGATTTCTGTGGCTGTTTGCTAGGGAGCAGCGGGCAGACTAGGTGAGGGGACAGGGTGCATGGGGGAGGCCGGCTAGGTGGCTGAGGCAGGGGTTCTGGCCGGAGAGAGAAGATGGTGAGACAGGATTAGGAGCTGGCACAGACTGGCATAGGGGAGAGGCGGCGAGGGGCCAGCCTGTCTCCCGGTCTCCGGCCTGGGTGCTGGCTGGCTCACCTCATGGTGAGCATGGTGAGTGTGCGGCGTTCTTGAGGCGGCTGGGGGGACGAGGGCTTCAGAAGCTCATGTCTGGCTCTCAGAGATGGGGTCTGGGCTGAAGGTAAAGACCCGCATCTTGTCTAAGGATGGAGCAATCGGCCGTGCTTGTACTTGACACCTTAGCTCAGGTGAAATACCTGGAGTGTGGTCGAGTGAGCCGAGAAGGTGGGGACTGACCCCTAGAGGCCCCAGCAGTGCCCGGTGGGTGTGAGGCGATGAGCAGGATGGCTGGGAGGAGAGCCAGGAGGTGGCAGGGCACAGAGCCAAGGTCCGAGGCCCTTGTGACCAGGCCTGGGATCCTGCAACTCACTTTACCGGGCTCCCGTCGCGCCTCTGCCCTGGGCGTGCACATGCCCCAGTACGTGGCCCTGGCCGTCGGCCTGCCTGTGCTGCCTTCCCCCATCCTGTTGGCCCTTCTCCTCATTTCCCTTAGACTCAGGATACTTGTAGAAGGCCACGAGGAAGCAAGCCGTTCTTGTCCACACAGCCTTCGCTGGGGGGCTGTCCACACCCCTGCCCGTGCTAGAGGGGCCACTGGATGGCAGAGGCGGGCATGGCCGGGAAGGACCAAACAGGCCCTGGTAACAATGCCCCTTCCCATGCCCCCATCAGAAGGAGCTGGCAGAGATCAAGTACCAGTACGCCATTGACGAGCTGAAGCAGCGAGAGCACCTGATTCAGGTCCGACTGGAGGAAGAGCAGGCCCGGCGGGAGGAGCTGGAGGAGCACAAGGTATGCTCTTTTGGGAGGAGCCTCGCCGCCTCCCTCCCCCTGCCCTGGCTCCAGGAGGCCGGCCACACATTACGGGTCCCCTTGGATCAAAGTCAGCAGGGCCCAGGCCCCAAAAACCACTGTTGATGGAAGCCACATGCCGTGTGGCCTCTCCTGGCTGTGACGGAGCATGGACGTCATCCACAGGCCAACGCCCTGTCCCGCCCTGTCCCCTGCCTTGTCTCCTAGCCGGCCTGCTGGGTTCCAGCACAAGGCCCCGGGGAAACAATCTGAGGGGGCAGCTCCTTTCCTTAAAAAGCCTTGGGTAGTTCCATGGCAGCCAGAAGGTTGAAGTCCTTCCCCGGCACGGCCCTGGGCCCACTCTGCCCCACATCCCGCACCCCTGCCTCCAGGCACGCTGAGCCTCGTGCAACCTTCAGTTGATGCCTCTGGACCCCCGCAGGTGCCAGGCCCTTGGTCCGGCGTGCCTTTCCCTGTCCTCCTCCAGGGCTAAAGCCCAAGGACTGCGTGCCCTCCCCCACCCTCTGCACGGTGTCCACTGACCCCAGGGCCCAGCACAGGGCCCTGCCTGCTGAGCCCTTGCCAGGGCCCGTGAGGGGGGTCAGCGGGTCCCCTGAGCCCTGCCGTGGTTCTGACTGCAGGCCGCGTTCGTCGAGCATCTGAACGGCTCCTTCCTGTTTGACAGCATGTACGCCGAGGACACAGAGGGCAACAAGCTGGCCCACCTGCCCGGCGTCAGCGAGCTCCTTCAGGCATATCCTTCCATCACCTTCACTTCTCTGGTGAAATGGGGGAAGATAAAACCCCTCCTTCACAGCCATGTACCCCAGAGGCAGTGGAGAACCAGGTCAGCTGAGCCGTGTGGGGAAACACCGTCTAGATTTCAGGGGATGTACAGTGTCTGGTCAGCATGGCACGGGGACCGCCGTGCATGACACACCAGGTTGTCACAGAGGGAAAGCTGAAGTGTGTGTCTACGGCACTAACCCCCAGTATCTATATTTAGTTTTCTGCTGTGAGCTGGCATACAGTGTTTATAATCTCCCAGCTGCCCGGCAGATGGGGACTATTCTTATATTAATCCCACTTTATAGTTGGGGAAGCTAAACTTGGAGAGGGTGACTTGTCCAAGGTCATGCAGTAGAAGCTGGGATTTGAGCCCTTGTCTGTGGGGCTAAGAGCGGGCACCCTTTCCCCCAGTCGGCTGGAACCCAGAGGATGTGATTGACACTTGTCATGGCCCAAGCCATGATGGCCAATCATTTGGCTTAAACTATAAGTTGAAGGATTCGGGTTAGACTCACGATAGACTGAGTTGGTACTGAGACTGGCAACGAGTCACAGAGTTTGTCTATGGCGCCACCATCCCTGGGTAGAAAGAAACTTTTTCTTAAAAACTCAATGTTTTAGAAAGGGTGGGGGAGGGGTGGAGAAGGTGTGAGGCGAAGCAGATGATGACAAGCAGGGCTCTAGGCCAGACAGCCAGGCTCCCGGCCTGGCTCTGCCCTCCCTCAGCTGGGTGACCGGGGCTCGCATCTGGGCTGCAGCGCCAGCCTGACCTCAAGGACGCCACGCTGCGGGAGAGGAAGCCAAGGCCCAGGAAGGGGAGGTGGCCTGCCAGAGAGAAGGAGCAGCAGAGCCAGAACTTGAACCTGGGTCTGTCTTCTTCAAGCCCATGGTCCCCTGATGTCCACAGGCTCCCTAGGCAGCCCTGCAACAGCTGAGCACAAAGACGGGCCCCCAACCAAGGTGCCCCCTAGATAGCACCAGAGACAAACATACCCTGCCTAGGTCCCTGGCGGGGGCTGTCCCCCCCCCACTCTCAGCCCCTCCCCGGCCCCTGGGCCCGCTCTTAGCCTGTCTCTCTCGTGCTCTGTAGTATCCCCCCAAGGCCCCTGCTCCCTTCCCGAGGCCAGTCCCTCAGGCTGGGGAGGGAGATGCCCCAGCACCACATCAGACTCCAAATCTCAACTCCCGGCCCTGGGCCAGGAGCTACCACCTCCCTCGACCTGCATCCTCCCAGCAGCCTGCCCCCAAGGCGGCCGCCAGCTTCCTTAACGGCCACTCACCTACAAGGACAAATTTGTCATCATCTGCCTGAACATTTTTGAATACGGCTTGAAACAGCAAGAGAAGCGCAAAGTGGAGCTTGACACCTTCAAGGAGTGTGTCCAGGAGGCCATCCAGGAAAACCAGGAGCAGGGCAAACACAGGATTGCCAAGTTCGAGGAGAAGCACTTGCTGGTAGGCTCTGCCCCGCCGGGTCCCCGCCCTGCTTCCTGTTCCAGATGCGGACCCCACCCACAGGCCTGGCTCCGCTGGAGGGGCAGCACAGCCTCTGCCTCTAATGACCCCGAAGACCCACGACCCCTGTCCCCATCTGCCAGAAGCCACACAACTCAGTGGCAGAGCCAAGGTTTAGCCTTCCGCCGGCGCCACCGGCCACAACCCCGACACCATGCCAGAGCCGAGCCCAGGGTGCCGCCCTGGGTCTCCTTCACCTAAATCACCCCCGGGGTTTAAGGCAGCGTCATCGCTCCCGTTAACAATGGTGTCAGTGTTGTCGCTCCTATTATTAGCAATGTCAGGAGCTACTACTTTGCTTTTGTTCATTCGTTCATTTAGCAGACATTTTCTGTGCCCGCGCTCAGGGTCCGGCTCTCGGAAGCCGGCCCCGTGCTGGACGTGGCTCGTCTCGTCGCAAGCGCCCATCCGGTGCGGGGTGCAGCCACAGGCCCTCCCCACTGTGGTGGCCAGTACCGTACTGGAGGGGGGCCCAGGGAGCCTTTGAGAGTGGCTGGAAGGACCTTAACTCAGGCCAAGGCTCACAGGACAAAGAGAAATGGGCCAGGGGTGGCAGCGGAAGGGCATTCCACCTGAGAGAGTGGGCCGCGGTGCTCAGGACTTGCTGTGCCCGGGCCACTCGGCCCAGCCTGAGCAGCGGCCCTGTGTGCTTGGTCGGACTTGTTTCTTTTGGTTAGCATTATTTTTATTTTATTCAATGTTTATTTTTGAGAGAGCGCAAGTGGGGGAGGGGCAGAGAGAGGAGAGACAATGGATCCAAAGTGGGCTCTGTGCTGACAGGCTGACTGATGGCAGCGAGCTTGATGTGGAGCCGGAACTCACGAACCTCAGAGATCATATGGCCTGAGCCCAAGTCAGATGCTCCACCCGCTGTGCCACCCAGGTGCCCCTAGTTAGCATGATTTTTTTTTTTATTTAAGCTTTTTTTTTTTAATTATTATTTCTAGGAGAGAGAGAGAGACAGCGTGAGCAGGGGAGGGTCAGAGAGAGAGGGAGTCACAGACTGAAACAGGCTCCAGGCTCTGAGCTGGCAGTCAGCACAGAGCCCGACGCGGGGCTTGAACCCATGAACCGCGAGATCATGACCTAAGCGAAAGTCGGACACTTAACCGACTAAGCCACCCAGGCGCCCCTAGCATGATTTTTAAAGACCGGTTCTTGGTCTAAATCACAGATCTTTGTGAGACTCCGAAGAAAAGGTACGGACTTTCTTTCTCCTCAAAAAACTGTCCACAGGGGCGCCCGGGTGGCTCAGTCAGTTAAGCATTAAATTAACATAAATAAACGTTAAAAAAACCAAAACTGTCCACATACACTGAGTATGTGAGGACTTGCCTGCAGTGTCAGCTGCTGCAAGGAACCCATGAAGCTCCCCGGGGTTGAGAACTCTTAGTTTAAGGTCAGGCAAAATCCCCTGATAATGCACGTTTGGATATATGCTTCCCGGGCCTCCTCACTCCCCAGCCCCCATTCTTGTCTCATCGGCCTCACCAACGTCCACACACTCTGTGCGATTTAACCCTCCAGACCCTCCCCCTCGGGTTACAGGGAGACGTGTGACTGCATCACCCAGAGGTTCCAGCCTGTCAGCAGAGGACACGTTTGGCTCACACACGTGCTTTATTTGGCCTGCATAGGATCTTAAAACGTTCTGAACATCCTGCTGACGTTAAAAATGGGAAGGTTTCACAGAAAAATTGTGGTTGCCAGCCTCTCTGGAGGCCCTTGTCAGCAGGGCCTCAGTGGCGGCTGTCCCCTCTGGACAGGCCACGTTTCCAGTCCTCACGGACCCTGTCTGGCACATCCTCCCTGAGGTTTGTTTTTCTTCTTCTTTTTTAAATCTTGATTTATTCTTGACAGAGACAGAATGTGAGTGAGGGATGGGCAGAGAGCGAGGGAGACACAGAATCTGAAACAGGCTCCAGGCTCTGAGCTGTCAGCACAGAGCCCGACGCGGGGCTCGAACCCACGAACCATGAGATCATGACCTGAGCCGAAGTCAGGTGCTTAATCGACTGAGCCCCCTCCCTGACATTTCCTATCTGGTGCCTATAGCCGCTGGACTTGGGAGGCCTGGACGCCAGCCAGCCCACTCCTCCCAGGCCTGGGCCCTGCCCCCACAGCCACACGTGCCTCCAGAGAACAGGACCTGGGCCGGGCTACCGCCAGTGCCATACTCCTGCTGCCGCCAAGCCTGACCTCCTAGTGTTGGGGTGTAGGTCTTCGGAGCAGGCTGGCCTCCCCGGCTTCTGAGGCGCCGGTCCCCACGGCCCCCGTAACGGCGACGCCCTCAGAGGCCGCCTGCCTGAGCGGACTTCCCTGAGTGCTCCTCTCCTGGAGCCCAGAGCAGCGCTTTCATGCAGCCCGCACACCGGAGTCCGCAGGGGCCCCACACCCCAGCTCAGGGGGTGCGGCCCAGCCCCGGGACTTTCCAGAGCTCCCCGGGTGCCTCCAGCGCCCAGCCCAAGTTGAGCCCGCTGTCTTGGAAGGTCACAGGACCCCGCGGGCCTGAGGCCACCGTTATCTTTCCTCACAGGACCTCTCTAAGCTTGTCCTATACCTGTCCCCACGCCCACTAGGCCAGGGCTCCTTCAGCGCCCCCTCCTGCTGCCTAGCGGGGCGTGGCTTGAGCTCGGCAGGTGGCCAGAATGCTCCAGTGGACCCCTTGCTGGTGACCCTCTGCTAGACTCCGTTTCCTCAGTAGAGAAATGGAGGTAACCGCCCCCCAGAACCGTAGGGGGGACCAGTGGGGAGCAGAGCAGGCGCGAAGTTGTGACGGGCAGTCTGTGCAGTTGGAGTCACTGGATAGGTCATGCGTTGCAAGCAGGGGCACGGAATGACAAATGTAGACGCGGGTGCGGTGCGCAGTCTGCCTCCGTGTGTGTGTGTGTGTGTGTGTGTGTGTGTGTGTGTGATGAAAGCGTACCACGCTCTGTTCTGCACTTTGCTTTGTCATCTATGCAGCTTAGAGATCCTTCCAAAACTCTCCAGTCGCTTCCTTTTTTCATAGTTGTAAAACCTCCCATTGCACGGACGAACCGTGATTGATTAACCCGGGCCTGTTGACGGACAATTCGGGTTTTTCTGTTCTTTTGCTCTTTCAAGCAGTGTTGCAGTGGGTGAGTTGGTGAGAGTTTGATCTGTAAGATGAAGTCCTAGGGGGTAGAACCAGTATTGGCTCCTCTCACCCATTGCTGCTCAGCTGCACTCTGCGGAAGCTGTATCTTCTGCCACCCTGCCTGCCCCTTGTGAGCCCGGTGTTCTCAAGCCTCCTTGTCTCTGCCACTCTGGCACACTTGGAGCATGTGTTTATTTTCCCTTCAGTGAGGATAAGCATCACGTGTTTTATAGACATTTGTATTTATTTTTTTAGTTTATTTATTTATTTTGGGCTTAAAAAAATTTTTTTTAATGTTTTATTTATTTCTGATAGAGACACAGCATGAGCAGGGGAGGGAGATACAGAATCCGAAGCAGGCTCCAGGCTCTGAGCCAGCTGTCAGCACAGAGCCCAACGCGGGGCTGAAACCCACGAACTGTGGGATTATGACTTGAGCGGAAGTCGGACGCTCAACCGACTGAGCCACCCAGGCGCCCCGTTTATTTATTTATTTTGAGAGAGAAAGAGAGGAGGAGGAGAGAGAATTCCAAGCAGGCTCCACACTGCCAGCACAGAGCCCGACACGGGGCTCGAACTCACGAATCGTGAGATCACGACCTGAGCTGAAATCATGAGTTGGACACTTAACCAACTGAGCTACCCAGGTGCCCCTAAACATTTTAATTTCTTATTCTGTGAACTCTTTGCTCTTATAATATGCCCTAACCCATTTTTTCTGTTTGGTTTTTGGATCTATAGCTTTTTCTTTAAACACAAATCATTACTTTGTAGGAACTCTTTATAGATTGAGAAATTAGCTCTGTGTCCTTGAAATCAGTTGCAAATATGTTTCCTGCCTTGTTGTTTATCTTGTCGTTTTTTTGTCTATAGTGTTTTGCTATTCAGAATTTCTAAACATTTTATGTAGTACAATTTATCAGTCTTTTTTCTGGTTATACTTAGAAAGGACTTCACCACTCTCAGATTATTTATTAAAACCCATCTATTTTTCCTTCTAGGACTGTATGGCTTCACTTTGTATGTTTAAATCTTCCCTCTGTGGGAAATTTGTTTTCATGTAAGGTTCGAGGTAGGGATTGAACCTGATTTTTCTCCAGATGGGGTAGCCATTATTATAAATATCATTCATCACATTGAATCATTCCTCCTTCCCAACTAATACCATATATATCGGGGCACCTGGGTGGCTGAGCTGGCTAAGCGCCCGATTTCAGCTCTAGTCATGATGTCATGGGTTTGTGAGTTCGAGCTGTCTGTGCAGAGCCTGGAGCCTGCTTCGGATCCTGTGTCCCCCCCTGCCCCCGGCCCTCCCCTGTTCGCTCTTGTTCTCAAAAATAAATAAACATTAAAAAATAATAATACCATGTATCAAGAGAAACAAGTTGGCGGCCTGGTGGCCACATCTGCAGGACCTTTGTTAGTGAATGTCTGGGATTCAGTGCCAGGCTGGGACCCCACAGTGCTCTCCAGCCCGTGAGACCCCTCTCCTTCCAAATGGCCTAGCATCTGTCTACCCCGGCAACCCCTTCCCATGTCTCTCTCTACCTGCACCTGCCGTGGGCTGTTTATTGGAGACTCTGTTAGCCGAGGCCCCGCTGTGAGCCAAGATTTGCTGTACACCGCTTAATCCCCACCACTTCGTGACACACACTTCTGTCCCCCTTTACATAAGGAAACTGAACCTTAGAGAGTGGAGGTGGCTCACCCAAGGCCACACTGCTAATAAGTGACCCAGACAGGATTCAAATTCAGGTTCACCTGACTTGAAGCCATTGCTCCTTCCACCCAGCCCAGCCACCTCTAATGAAAACTGGTGCTAACATGGACTGAGCCCTCACTAACTAGTGCTGACATCTGCTTTATCTGCCTCGGGGCATGGGGAGGGAAAGTAGCTTCTACAAGCTCATGAAGCTGACAAATGGCAGAGCTGACACTTGAACTTGGACAGGCCAACCCCAGCGTCCATGTTCTTACCCACAAAAGCAATTGTCGCCTGTCATTAACTAATTACACTTAGTTGTGGATTCCTAAAGCCAAGGCTTTTGTTTCCAGAATTTAAACGCCATTCGAGATGAGTCCGAACTGAGCAGCTTCGAGATGAAGATAGCGGAATACAGCCAGGACGTCAGTGAGCTGTTCAACGTGCTCATGACGCTGGAGATGCAGTTGGTAGAGCAGCTGGAGGTAAGGCCAAGCCCCCGGGCACAGGTGTGACGTGATCGTGCCCTGCCAGTCTCCTTTGCAAGAACGCAGTGATTCGGCGGCAAAGCTGTATTTTACTTTATTTCTTTTTCATAAATAGTTTGTAAGTGTTCGTTTTATTTTCGAGAGAGAGAGAGAGCATGAACAAGTGAGGGGCAGAGAGAAAAGGAGACAGAGGAGCTACAGCGGGCTCTGCGCTAATAGCACAGAGCCCGATGTGGGCTCGGACTCACCAATGGTGAGATCGTGCCGAAGTCAGAGGCTTCACCTGCTGAGATACTCAGGTGCCCCCAGACTGTATTGTAGCCGGTGCCATCCCAGGAGCTGCTCTGTGGTGCGGCTCAGCATGGCAGGCTGAAGCTTTCTTTGCTCATCCGTCCTGGGTTTGCTTTTAATATATTTCAGTCACTTAGATTGCAATGGACTCTCACGCCCTGCATGAGAGGTGAGCTCATTCCTCTGGAATGTACCCCCTATTCTGGAAGAACCCAGAGCCTCAGCAGGGAGAGGTTGTTGTTTTCTATTATTAGATCCAAGGATCCAATTGGGTGCTTGAAAGACCAAGTAGGCCCCCACCCTTGACGAAACAAAGCCTCCTCCGCATTGCAGCGCGCATTTGCCGCATCTCCGGGCCTGTGGTGCAGCACGGAGCCGCCAAGTGCAAAGAGCTGCTCTCTGAAATCCCTTAGCAGCCAGAGTGCAGTGTGTTCACGAGGCGGCCGAGGCCGGGAGGCTGAAGCACTGTGATGAATTGAACCTCCTTGGATGCTGCCAGGGCTGGGCCAAGAGATAGCGCCTAATCGCCTAATCGATTCCTCACGTGTCAAGTGACACCTCAGACAGGGACAGACCTCCCCATCCAGTCACACGGCAGCTGCGCCCGCTCCCGCTGGGGAGTACTCAAGCACTGACTGCAGAAAGCCAGAAAGCCACTTGGGAGCAGGAGGGGAGGCATAGGCAGCAGCTCCCAGCCTCCTCGTGCAGGGAGACCCCCTTTCCAGAGTCCCCAAAGTCCCCGGATCTGTACCTGGCCAGTCACACTTGTGTTACCAGCAGCCAAAAAGCTCCCATTTTTATTTGTTACAACAGTGTTTGCACACACGTTTGAAACATGTATAATTAGCTTGTCCGACTCCTGTAGATTCCCAGGGCCCCTGGCCCACCCTGTAGCCCCAGGACTCTGTGCTAGATCAGGGGCATGACCCAGCCTGGGGGCTCACGGGCGCAGGCCTCACCATCACCTCTTCTGCTGCCCCCTCACTCAAGTCCCATTTCGGCCCTGAGTGCCCAGCTAAGCACTGGAGCGCAGCGAAGCAGGGTGCCTCGGAGAGAGGTGGAAGGCCACACTGATGGTGACGGGCCTGGGGCAGCAGCCAGCATCACGGAGGCACCTGGCAAGGCATTGTGTGTGAAGTAACACATTTAAACTTCACAACTCTGTGAGACAGGGACTACAAAGGAAACCCGTTTCATAGATGAGGGTGTTGAGCCCCAAGGATATTATACACAGCACTGGGATACTGATCCAGGCAGTCTCTCAGCAACTCTCTCCCCTGTTTCTCTGCAAGTGATGGGCAGATACCATCGAGAACCCCAGAGGAAGGGGGTTTGCTCTATGCATGTACATGGGGGTTGTGGGGGTTCCGGGACGAGTATTCCTGGCAACGGGACCAGCACATGCAGAGGCCTGGAGGAAGGTTTGCATTAAACCTTCGTCGGAAGGAGGGTGGGTGTGTGTGAGTGAGGTGAAATGGCTGGAGAGTAACGCAGCTTTGGGAAAGAGGTCAGGAGAGAGGGCCAGTTCAGGGGCATCTACCTGAGAAGGTCAAGGTGGTTGGCTTTAAGCTGAAGGTCTGTGATTAAAGCAGGCACCTGCTAAGTTCTAAGGAGCGACTTTTGCTCTGATGCTAGGTCAGTCGAGTTCATGTCTAAATATTCATGTTCACTGTGCTCTTTATCATTTCCAGGAGACTATAAACATGTTTGAAAGGAACATCACCGACTTGGTCGCGCTCTTTATTGAAAATGTCCAAAGTCTATATCCTTTCCCGATGACCCTCCATGGGGAGACGATACCAGCTCATGGAGTTATCCTGGCCCCCACTTGGGCTCCCACCGCCTCCAGGGAGGGGAACCAGGGGAGAAGCACCTGCATTTTAAAAATTTTATTATTTTTTAGCATGTAATTATTTTTGAGAGACAAAAAAAGACAGTGCATGAGCAGGGCAGGGGCACTGAGAGAGCGGGACCCAGAATCCAAAGCAGGCTCCAGGCTGTCAGCACAGAGCCTGATGCAGGTTCAAACCCACAAACTGTGAGAACGTGACCTGAGCCGAAGTTGGACACTTAACAGACTGAGCCACCGAGGCAACCCAGCACCTGGATTTTAAACAAAAGGCAAAGAAGGGTAAAGCTTTTTCATCAACTAAGCAGGATGCAGATAAGTGTAGCCCCCTTCTACGTAGCCACCTGTAGGGTCACACCTACCCCCTCCCACTGCCACCAATGCAAACACCAGTTTGATGTACAGAAAGGTCTATACGTGCACCAAGATGATAGCCAGCCCATCACAGGGTCCCATAGTGGGAATCTCCACCTTTAAGATTAGAAGAATGGAAATCCTACAGTCTTTCACCAAGGAAAAAGCTCACCTTCAAAAGATGGAGATTTGGCAACTACTTGGAATGTTCAAAGAATGTTCCACAGGGTCTGAGGGAGTTTCCCGTCTCTCAGAACAATGGTGCCTTGTTAGGGTAAAGGTTTGGATGCCTACCAGGGTTGCTAGGTGGGGCCTCGTCGACTGCAGGGTAAGGCCTGGCCTATTTGTTCTCAAAGGAGTGATGTTCACAGAGAGACCAAACCCCAGAGTCCCCGCTTGCTTCCTGTGTCGCAGACCCTGACAAATCATGTAGAGTGAGACGGGCAGGTTAAATGTCAGGGTGGGGGCATTTAGGGCATGACCAACCCTTCTGCCACCTGACTTCAGGGCCCTGCCGTGCAGGGGACAAACTACTATGCTCTACCCCAGAAGTAATCTCCTGGTCCTACCTTCCTGGGTCCGCAGTCATGCAAGGAGACAGAGTTACAGAGGGAGCAGCGCACGCAGAGATCAGGGCCAGGAGCCTCCCCGAGGGAAGGCCCGCTGAGGACCTAAATGTGGGCCAGAGGGACAAGGCAGAAAAGTGGGGAGGACGTTCCAGACAGCAGAGGCAGCCTGTGCAAAGGCCCTGAGGATGGGTCACAGAGACCCAGTTCCAAGATGGGGCCTTTATAGCACGGGAGGGATGAGGGCCAGCCTACCCACGTTGAAGAGCATGCTGGCTGCTGTGCAGGGCAAAGGCTAGAGCGGGAAGACCAGGTCTTTGTTTGCTGTCCAGTCGGGAGGCGGTGGGAGGGAGAGAGGTGTTGGGTGGAGAGGCTGTGCGAGGACCCCCGCCAAGGGTCAGTGATGAGCAGGTGTGGGAGGGTTGAGGGGGCGCAGGGGGATCAGGGCGGCCCTGGGATTCCGCGCATGTGTACCACGGCTGTGAAAGAGCTGACGCACTGGCACCTCCAGGTATGCCCTTCACCCTTCACAGCCTATTCTTGTCTGGGGGAAACGGCCCCGCCCTCTCAGGGTCTGCAGACCGCGGCTGGAGGGCCTGAGGATCAGGACGCGCGGGGTCTGCGCCGATCCCCGGCCTTTGCTTAACTTGGCTGCACGATGGCTCAGTGCCGGGACCTGGAGAACCACCACCACGAGAAGCTTCTGGAGATCGCCATCAATACCCTCGAGAAGATACTGAAGGGGGAGCTGGACGAGGACCTGCCGGAGGACGCGCGCGCTGTGAGCTCTGTGGGCGGGGCTGTGGCTGCGGTGGGCGGGGCTCGGGCCCTGTGGGGGCCCGCCCAGTGACGGTGGTGGGCGGGGCTAAGGCCCGGAGGCTGACGGCCCAGGAGACCCATAGATCCATTGAGACCAGCTCTGTGGCTCTGGTAAGCCTGAGAGCCTCCCAGAGCCTCAGTTTCCCCACCTGTAAAAGGGACAATACTGCCCTCAGTAGGGTGGTTGGCAGATGAAATAGGCTGACAAATAGAACTTCCTTTGGGTACTCAGTGGGGCCCAACTAGAGAGGAGCTCATGATAATGAAGTAATTTCAACAGGTTGGTTTCCAAAAGGTCATGTCTGTGGGGCTTCTGGCCGTTTCCAAGAGAGGCAGTTGCAGATAGAGGTTAAGTGCTGAGATTTCCCCCGCAGGTCTTCCTAACCCTTGAGTATCTGAGGGGCAGCACTACCAGGGTGTTGGAAAGGCCCAGGCACCATTTCTGATCCGGCATGTTGCCCCTCCCACCCCCACCAGCACTTCCGGTGATGAGTTGTTCGGATCAGCCGTCAGCCTGATCTCGTGAGTCTGCTCACCTAGGAGGCTCCCTGGGTCCCCCGCATGGGGGTCCAGTGGTGGGGCTTCTCCCTCTCATCTCCACTTACCACCCAGTCAAGCCACGTTGTCTTTCGCCGGGACCACTGGCCTCCTCGCTGCCCTCCTACAGGCTGGCAGCCGCCAGAGAGCCTTGGAAAACCCAAACTACATCATTTTGTGCCTTTGCACAACAGGCTCTAATGGCCTCCCGTGGCCCTAGGCGTGAGCACTTGACTGTAGCGCACCAGCCCCTCATGCCTGGCCCGCATACTCAGTGGCCGCCTCCCCCGCCCCCTCGCTCCCCGCTAGCTCCTTTCCTTTGACATTCCGCCTAGCAGACATGCCCTTCCGTCAGGTGTCCGGGTGTCTGGCTCGTCCTTGTTGGGGTCTCCTTGGAGGGGCCTTCCCCCGTCACTTCCCAGGAGTGAACACTTCACCGTCTCTCTGTCACGCGCCCCGCTGGTCGTCAGAGCCCGCGTTACAATTTCAGGCTTCCGCGCCTGTGTCCTGTGTCGGTTGGCGTCTGTGACCACCCACAGTACACACGGGCTCGCGGGGAAGGCGGGGCGGCCTCTTCACCACCACGTGCCTCCCCGGTGCCAGCGAGGGCGCCCGCCTGGCTGCCGCAGCTCAGCCCGAGTGCCAGGAGCTCTCCGAGCCCCGCTCTGTCAGTGCTGGCTAACCCCGCAGGCACAGAGATGGCAGTCCCCACCCCACAGCCTCCGTCCAGGGCAGAGATGGACACCCAGCACCAGCCACCCTCCCCAAACTCCTGCCAAGTGCTGTTGTTGAGCAGACACAGGCGATGTCATCTCCCTGAAATAAGGCTGCCCAAGAGCCCACTGTGCTGTCCCTCAGATGGGCCGTCGCGGGGTCATGGAGTTCCCTCAGGGCATGGCTCCCAGGTCTGTGACAGCTAGTGGGTGTCATCCCTCCCCAGTGACTGGGACACACAGAAAAAGATGGGCCCCGAACCTCAGTGGCAGACGAGCAGGCTGGACTGGTGCTTCCAGCGGCTAGGCCTCTCCTCTGCTGGGAGGACTCTTCCTGGCGTCGTGCGACACCTGTTTCTTGGGGCTCCAGGAACGCTCGGTACCTGCCGAGCACGGCGACTGGCAACACAGAGCTCCACTCACCGCAGGCTCGTGCTGCCCCGGTGTTGACGCCCGACGCTCATCTGGGATCCCATTTCTCTCCCCCAAACACCCTACAGACGCTCATCACTGGCAGTTTACAGAGGGGAACATTGGGGGAGGCAGCGTCACAGAGCCGTTTGGTAAACTGCCCAAGGTAACAGCACTTGTGAGGACCAGAGTGGATTCAAACTAGCCCGAGAGATGCAGGGCCTGTGCCCCTCGCCGGGGACTACAAGCTGGTGTTCTGGGTTTGCCCACGGCCCCAGAACTCGGGCAGTGGGGCTCTGCCTTGGGCTTGCGGCCAGGGATCTCGAGGCCTCACGGGGGCAGCCAGCAGAGCCCACTGGACACTCTGCGCTCCGTGAGCCAGGGTGAGCTCTGTCCTTCCGGGGACGTCTGCCCTCGCAGTGAGAGACGTCACCAGGACCTTACAGTGTGGCTTAAGTCTCCTTATACTTAAGCAACAAAACGTGGCATGTTGTTCTCGGGGGGGGGGGGGGGAGGGGGGAGGCGGCCCTGACTGTAAAAAGTAATAACAACAAATAGCTAACATTTGCCGAGGGCCTCCCGAGGGCCAGTGTCTTCAGAAGCACCAGACAAGGTATTTGCTCTTTTAATCTTCACATCAACACAGTAACATAGGTACCATTATGGTTCCCTTTTACAGATAAGAAAACTGAGGCAGAGATGAGAGTAACCTGCCCAAAGACACGCAGCAGCAGATAAGTGATAGAGTTGATCTGAACACAGGCAGTTTGACTCAGAGCCTGTAGCAAGACAGGGCTGTGCAGAAGAAAAAAATCTGGTTTCTCTTATCTCGTTATCAGGGAGCATATCATGATTAAAAGTCCCACCCTTGATGATGTTTATCTCTTTAAAACTCTGCTCATTCAGGTGAGTGATTGTGATCAGCTCATGCCGTAGTTCAGGCCAAATCTGTCTTTTGAAGTCCTTCACTGCTTTGGAAGGAAAGGCAGAAGGCGCATGTGTGATCAAGGAGCTAGCCTGGAGGGGGGGGGTGGGAGGGGCGCTAGAGCCACAGCTGCCCTGGCGGGGTCAGGGTGGCCGCAAGCAGGCCACCGCCCCCCTCTGGGCCGAGGGCAGTCAGCCTCGTGCTGCAACAGGCCACTGCCGCGTTTAGGGGGCAGAGGGAGGGCAGACTCGCTCCCGGGGTGCTCAGAACAGCCGTGTGGGTGTCTAGCTGCGATGTTAGGGCCTCAGAGACTCTAAACACCCCTGCCTCTATGTCAGTGCTTATGACCAGCAGAAACGGGAGGGGAATCTGGAATACTCTACCCATAACAAGTATTCTGAGAGGGCAAACTGATATAGCCGTCGCTCTCGCCATTCCAGGGCAGCCGAGGTCCAGAAACAACTTGCAACTTGCATTTTAAATATTTTAATGTTGGTTTATTTATCTTGGAAAAGAGAGAGCATGCGCGAACGCAGAAGAGCACAAGCAGGGGAGGAGCAGAGAGAGGGAGAGTGAATCCCAAGCAGGCTCCACAGTGTCAGCACACAGCCTGATGCGGGCCTCAAATTCATGAACTGCAAGGTCCTGACCTGAGCCGAAATCAAGAGTTGGACCCTCAACTGACTGAGCCAGTCAGGAGCCCTGCAACTTGCATTTTAAAATCCTTTCTTTACACCAGATTCCATTGGGGGTACCTGGGTGGCTCAGTCGGTTAAGCATCTGACTTCAGCTCAGGTCATGATCTCATGGTTCGGGGGTTCGAGCCCCACATCAGGCTCTGTGCTGACAGCTCGGAGCCTGGAACCTGCTTCTGATTCTGTCTCCCTCACTCTCTGCCCCTCCCCCTCTCATGCTCTGTCTCTCAAAAAATAAATAAGCAAAAGAAATTTTTTAAAAACCAGATTCCTCGGGGCGCCTGGGTGGCTTAGTCAGTTAAGCGTCCGACTTTCACTTAGGTCATGATCTCACGGTTCATGGGTTCAAGCCCCGTGTCGGGCTCTGTGCTGACTGCCAGCTCAGAGCCTAGAGCCTATTTCAGAGTCTGTGTCTCCCTCTCTCTCTGACCCTCCCCTGCTCACACTGTCTCTCTCTCTCTCTCCTAAAAATAAATAAAAATATTTTAAAAAAAATAAAAATAAAAAATAAAAACCAGATTCCTTTAATTTGTATCATATAAATCCACAGTTCTTCATGACAAGTTCTAACTTTGTTGTTTCTTTTTTTTTAAAGTTTATTCATTTATTCATTCATCTCATTCAAGACAGAGAGAGATAAAGCATGAGTGGGGGAAGGGCAGAGAGGGAGACAGCAGAATCCGAAGCGGGGCTCGAACTCAGAGTGTGAGATCATGACTTGAGCTGAAGTCGGACGCTTAACCAACTGAGCCACCCAGGCGCCCCTAACTTCATCTGTTTCTAAGCAGACTTTACTTCCACCGCTTCCGAAGCTGTATTCTACACATTCAAGTTCAGAGGGTGGAGGGGATGACGTCTCCGCCTGGCCTAGAGACCTGCTATGACCCTTTTTTTCTTTTCTTCTCTTTTCTTTTTTTCTTTTTCTTTTTTTTTTTATAAAGTTTGTTTATTTTCAGAGAGCACAAGCAGGGGAGCAGGGGGTGGGCAGACAAGGGGCTCCTTGAGGGGTTTGAACTCATGAACCGTGAGATCATGACCTGGGTTGAGGTTGGAAGCTTAACAGACTGAGCCACCCAGGCGCCCCTGACTCATTTTTCAAAACAACCAGGACCTTAGTGTGACGAGTGGCTGTGGCTGTGGCTACTTCTAGATCCCCAGGGCCCACTCCAGGACAGGCCGGCAGGTTGTACACATCTTTGAGCCCTTCCCGGAGTCTGGCCTGGCAGCTTCTATGCACAGAGGAAGGTCTTAGTACATTGTTGTCATTTCTCCCATGTGGCCGTGCTAGCCGGTCCCCCAGGTGCCCGTTCCCTGTCTCAGCCAGCCTGGCTTTTCCACATGGGATTCCATGGAAAACCACCATCCCACAAAGTATTCATAGGCATTACTCTGACAAGAAGCCTTTGGCCAAATAAACTGGCAAACCAAGAGAGACAAAGTTAAAAGGGTTGGTACTTTCCAGAGCCTTCTCTGGAAAAATGTTTAGTGCTCTGTGAAATTCCAGGAGGGGCCTAGGGTGTGCAAGCCTTTCCTAACCATTTGACCAAAGAAAATAATTTTTTTATCTCAAGATTCCATAGAACATATCTTAGAGATTATTAAGTTAACCACTACTAGATTACAGAAAAAAACAAGTATTTATCTGCTTGCAGTCCCCTCTACAACGTAAAACATTCAGGTCCTCTGCCTTACACAAAACACGGTCCTTCAAAGTGGTGGCAACTTATCACTAAGGCTTCGCAGCCTCTCCCCACTCTGGGGAATGAGTCCACCTGATTTTCAACGACAGCCACAGTGTGGTCACTAGCACCGGCCCAGGCCTGGCAGAGGGCGGTCATTTTCAGCATGTTTTTTTTTCTTTTTGTAAACGTTTTTCATGAGACACAGAGCGAGAGCATGAGCGGGGGGAGGGACACACAGAGAAGGAGATGCAGAATCCGAAGCAGCTCCAGGCTCCAAGCTGTTAGCACAGAGCCCGACTCGGGGCTCAGACCCATGAATTGCGAGATCATGACCTGAGCCAGAGTTGGATGCTCAACCAACTGAGCCACCCAGGCGCCCCCCGCCCCACCCCTTCAACAGCTTTTTACAAGGCAGAAAACAAGGTCAGAACAAGAAGGCAGGAGCCCCCAAGTGTAACCCAAGGTTCAATCTGGTTAACGTGAGGGGCAATGGAGAGACGGCGTGGGGCACGCAGCCATCGATTTACAGGGCCCTCTGTCCTCAGAGCAGCCTGGAGACCCTCAGCCAGACTTACACGTCTCATCCGGCCAGCTGGTCGCAGGCAAGTGGGACTTGGGGGCCAGCGAGAGAGAGCCACTGTGAGAGGAGACATCCCGAGTGAGGCTGCCTGAAGAAAACACACTCCCAACTAGTATTGCAAAGTCAACGCCACGGTGGGTGGGCCCTTTCCCCCTAGCACTCGCCATGGCTCAGGTCCAGGACGTGCTGTCCCCGGAAGATGGGCTGTGACACGAAGGTGGGCTCTCCTCCACCAGCCAGGTGACGCTCAGCTGTTTTTCTCTCCATCCCTTTTTGTGCTTGCGTGGGGGTGGGAGGACATTAACAAGACATGCTCCTTTGACCTTTCTCGCTCACCAGCTTTTTGTCGACAAAGACACGATTGTTAATGCTGTCGGGACCTCGCACGACCTCCACCTCCTGAAGATCGACAATCGAGAGGATGAGCTGGTGACGCGGACAAACTCTTGGTGCTCACACCTAGTGGACACGGTGAGTGAACGCGTGTTGCCCACTTCTCTAGCCACCGGCCGGGGTGGAAACTCTGTCCTCTGTAGCAGACGCTCTTTGCAGTAAGAAATAACGTAGAACTGAGAATGGTAGAATTCCACACTGAACACTGTGTGTGCCCCCTCAGATTTTACAGCCCACCTGCTAACCCATCCTAACTCCTGCCTCACAGACACAGATACACAGAACCTGGAGGCTTTAAAGTGAATGTGGCCGTAACTATGCAAATTTCAAAGAACGATTTCCTTTTCCCCAAATTGGACTCAGTTAGAGGACATGAGCGAGTCCTCTGACTTCAGGACCTCGGGCTTTGGTTTCGCCCTCAGATCCACAAGGATGAGATCACGAGGAACCGCAGGCGGGTGAAGGAGATCAATCAATACATCGACCACATGCAGAACGAGCTAGACAACCTGGAATGCAGTGAGATCATAGATTAGGGCCATGCCAGCCCGGACGGCCCTCGGCCCACGCGGCACAGCACAGCGCGTCACTGCCAGCCTCAGACGCATCACTGGGAATTTCTCAACCCGTAACCCTCCCAACCCCATTCTTCCCCCGCCCCTGGGAAATGCAGAGAAAAATAAAGAACTATGTCATCTTTTCTCCATTCTTAAAAAAAATAATCAGAATTCCCATTTGTTCCTGAGCAGGAGAAAAAGTCCAAGACAAGCAGTTGGCCAATGTGCCGGGAGGGACTCCCGAGGGGGCTGCCGGTGAGCTGGGAGGCTCCTGGCCAGGGCCCGGTGTCGGCGGCGTGCCTGCCACTTCTGCGGACGCTCCCGGGGCGGTGTGAGCCCTTCTCTCCTCGTGCAGGGGAGCGAAGCAGGAGGCCCAGTCCCCAGCATAGCCCTGGGGCCGGGCCAGCCCACCAAGGTGGGTGCCGCGGCTCCCTGTGACTCTTGAGGATGGCTGCAGGGACCAGAAGGCCCTCTGGAGGTTAAGGGCACAGGCTGGACCAACATGCCTCCTCTGAGCACGGTCAACGGGTTCAGGAAGTGCACGGGGAAAGCGTGGAGAAGCACCTGCCTTGTGGCCAGTGTTCCGTGACAGGGTGATGCCATTTTACTACTAGGGCGCCAGGACAGGCGGCTCAGAAAGCCTTTGCTGCCCGAACTCTCCGATCCTTCCTGCTTCCCATGCGCTGTCCTGGCACCAGGAGACCAAACCTGCCCCTCAGGGCGGCGCAAGCGGCTGTGTCGGGAGGACACGGAGGGCTCCCGGAGCAGGACGCGCGTCAGGGGCCCTTGGCCTGCCTGCCTGGGCTCTTAACCCTCAAACAACTCCTATTCTATTTTCAGAGTAAATTACTTCTTCTAAAACACTAGAAATAGAAATAACCAGCTTAGAACAAAAAGGACTCACTTTCAAAAGATGGTTTGATTAAACACCAAGAGGGGGAAGAAGTCTTCAGGCTGAGGGCTGCACAGAGCTGTGTGGTGATGTGATTCCCCAACTGTGTGAGGCTCCCGGCCACGGGCAGCAGCTATCAGAACGTGCTGTGGGAGGCAAGCTGTCTGACCCTGGTGAAACCCAGACGTGACAAGATGGGACAGGAAGAAGTAGAGGCGCAAATGAAAGCAGGGCTCCACGTTTCCAGGGCAGAGAAATATTTAATACAATCAGGTGGAGAGAAAGTCACTGGTTTGCTTGTGCGGCTCGCTCAACGCTGGCTGGGGCAGGGGCACCCCGCTTGGACTCGAGCTGACCGCAACAGCCGCTCCGGGTCCTGGGGGCATCTCAGGGCGACGCCAAGCCCGGGAGCCCCGCGGGCCAGGGGTCTGTGGCCGTGCGCGCAGCCTCTGTCCCGCTGGGTCTGCTCGCCCCGCCTCACTGCTGCAGGAGCTTGTGTTTCACCGTGGCGCTCTCGGAACAGAGGTGGACGAAGAGGGTGCCGGCAGCCGTGCGCGCCCGCAGCTCCTGCAGCTCGTAGTCGTGGGCCCACTCGATGTTGCCCCACTTCTGGATCTGAGGGGAGGACGTGACATGCCGCTGGGTGGCTGGCCAAGCATCCGCCTGCCAACTGGCCAGAGCCACGTTCCACCCCAACAGCTGAGGTGGGGGTGTGGACTGGGCCCCAATCTTGCCAAAACACGAGACCCACACGGGGGAAGCGGCAGGTGAGAACACGCAGGCAGGCAGGGCAGGCAGCCACACTGCCGGGACGCAGACAGCTTGCAGGGGTGCCATCCAGGCCCAGGGCCCGCAGGTACCCGTGCCACAAACCACACGGTTTGTGTCTCCCCCAAGGGGGCCCAGCCCGAATGCCAGGTGACTGGTGGGAGGCAACCTGTAAAATGTCATCCTCCGCAAGCTGCCTCTCCAGGCTGGGCCTCAGGTGCCCCCCGCGTGGGTGGCATACATAAATCAACCGAGGCCACGTGGTCACTTCAGTGCCGCCTCCCCGGCGGTGCTGCAGAAACCCGGGTTCCGCCCGCTAGAGCAGACTTGCGGACTCTCTCCAGGGCTCTACCTACCAACCACAGGGGAGAACCCCAGACACACGGTGTGGCCGTCCAGGTGTCAGCGGGCCTCCAGCCAGGCCCTGCTGGCTCCTCCGTGGCCAGAGGCCCGGCTGCCCCAGCCCATCCAGGAACTCAGGAACTGCCATGCCGCACAAGCTACCGGCTCTCTGGGCAGCCACTGTACACCTTCGGAGAGCCCCCACATGTGACCCAGGTAACCCCCCGTTTTGTGGCGGATCGAATTTAGTTCACGGAAAGATGGCCCAGCTCGGGTGCCACCGTCAAACGCAGAGCCCAGACCGGAGGGCGGACTTCCTGGGCCCCACTTCCCACAGCCCTCACACCCCCACACAGCACCCCCTGCCTGTTTAATTGTTTCTAGCTAGCCTCTTTTGCGACAGAGAAACAGTTTTTTCCCCTGGCATTTTTCTGAGCAGATGACTAGACGGACTTGGGAAATAATGTCATTACAAAAGGGTTTTCATCATGCTAGGAGCCGATTTGTAATAGCAATTAACCTTCTGAGGTTGGAAAAAAGGCAGTGAAAAGACTGCAGAGAACGCCATAATTCTCAGAGTTAAAAAATGCAAATGACAGTGTAGCAAAACCATATTAATTTCAAACCCACTAAATGAAAACTTCTGCACAAACAGCAGCCACCCACGTTTGCCAGCCAGCCAGATGACCCGCCGTGTGAGTCGGTGCCAAGGCCAGCCCAGGCTCGGCTCGAGTGCGAACATGGCTGCTAGTCCTGTGAGTGGGCCCGTTCTGCAGGGCCCTGGCAGATGAACTTGATCTGCAGATAGTGCTGAAGGCCTGGAGTCACCCAGTCCTGGCTCCAAACCCCAGCTCCAGCATTTTCTGGGGTTGGGACCCATGCCTCGATTTCCTTCTGTGTGAAACAGGGAGAATAGGAGCCCCCACCTGGCCAGGCTGTTCAGAAGAGGTGAGGCCACGAGGGGAGAGCTGAGCATTGTGTTGGAACACAGCAGGAGCCCTCCCTGCCCTTATTTTGTCATTATTATTTCTTGACAATACTTTTATCGGCCCTTGGTTTTGGCTTCCGGGGGTACATGAAAGTAACAGAAGGCCAAATCTACCTAAAAACATTTTAGGTGGGCTAGCCCCCACACCCAGTCCAGCTGGGCCAGGGAGGGAAGGGTGAGGACCCGAGGCGCCGGCCCCCCCTGCCCCGTCCCCGGCCCCAGCACCTGGTACTCCTCCTCCAGGCGTGACAGCAGCACGGCCTGCTCCACTGTCAGGTGCCGGTCCGTCAGGCCCAAGGTCAACACCATGGACTTGAGCTGGGTCACCACAAACTCAATCCCTGCGAAGATACGAGCCATGTCAGGATCCAGGGCACCCCCGCTCCCAAACAGGGCAGTCGCTGGACTGACACTCTCCGAGTCCCTGCAGCCCTAGAGAGGTACAAAAGCGCCGGGGGGGGGGAAGGGCACGGGAATCACAGGGGACATGCGCTTTGCAGCCAGCTCGTGTCTTTCCCGGGTTTCCCTCGGGGGTGTGATCCCTCTTCTGTATCTGCCCTGGGTGGGCACCTGACCCAAACCTCGGCCGTCAGAGCCCTCCACCCCGTCCAGTGACGGGTCTGCGGATGGCCACGTGACCAGAGCCAGGCCAATGAGATCTGAAGCTGAGATGTGTGAAGAAGACAAAGCAGACTTTCTCCCAGAAGGGTGGGGAGCCTGCCATCCCCCTTGGACTGAGGATGTCAGGGTCACCCCCTAGAGCACCGCTGTGACACTCCGGGCTTTGGATGCCCGTGCCCGTGAGGCCGCCCTCCCAGCCCTGCGGGAAGCGCTGCGTGTACCTTGCAGGGCCCACATGTTGTACGAAGCCAGGTGGCTGGCGAGCACATCCCGAGTCCTGGCTGGGATGCTGGGCCCCATTATGCTGGTGGAGGAGCTGATCTCCACGTCGTATCTGAAAGGGAAAGGCTTCGGCATGTCCCTGTCCTGCTGTGTGGCCCAGCTTTTGCCTAAAGCAAAGTCCTGAAGTGCACACATGTGCCCCTTGAGAGATTCTGGGAGAAACTGCCACTGTGGTCAGTGGTCCCCTGACCTCGTAATTTCCTGTCACCCCACAGCAGAGCCAGAGTCCATGTAGTTGCCTGAAATTCTAATTTGCTGGCCTAGAATCTCCATCAGAAGCATGGGGGGCTTGCTTTTTAAACCCTTTCAGAAAGTTATTCACATTTGAGACCACAAAAGATTTCTTAAAAAATTATTTTCCTGGGGTGCCTGAGTGGCTTAGTCAGTTCAGTGTCTGACTTCTACTCAGCTCATGATCTCATGGTTCATGAGTTCAAGCCACATTGGGCTCTGTGCTGACAGTGTGGAGCCTTCTTGGGATTCTCTCTCTGCCATCTCTCTACCCCTCCCCTATTTGTGGGCGCATGCTCTCTGTCCCATAATAAATAAATAAACTTAAAAAAAAAAAGAGAGAGAGTGTCACGTGCTCCACTGACTGGGCCAGCCTGGTGCTCCATATTTTCCTTACAATAATCTTTGTACGTGTCCTCTATCATCCGACCATCAATAAATCAAATATTTATTAAGTCTCTACTGCATACAAGCCATTGCTTTCTGCCTGGGACATGAGCTGGCTTCAAGAATGACACATTTTCAAAAACAGTAATAACTATATAAGGCACAGGAAAAATATAATGGAGTAAAGGCAATTTTTGTAATTTTCTTTCATATGTAACTCATTTTTCCGTTGGTTTAGAACGTTCTTGCTGAAATTTCTAATGGTAACACAGCAAGTGGCCAGGTTGTTTTGTAAACTATTAAGGATGAGAATCTCAAGTACCATAAAAAGTGGTCAATTTTGTGCCACAGCAAAGATCTCCAGGCACCTACACTATTGTCATATTTCATTACACTCCTCAATGACACCCTGCCTCCGGAGCTCTTACACAATGCTGTAGTTATCACATTTTATGGGATCCTTCAGAGCACTGGCCATGCCTTTTACTGTAAAACCCAAGGATCCCTGGCACACTGTGGGCACTGAGGAAATTCCCACAAACGAGACTGACCGATACCACTCTGATGAAAATGTTATGCCAAAAACGACTCTGTGGGTGCTTACAAAATACTACGGTCAGAGCAGTACCAGGGTAGTAGCCCTTCCATACTCCCCTGGAATGAAATGAAATTCAATCTATTTTGCTACCACATCAACAGTTTGTTCAATTTTGCACAAAAGAATATTTTTGCTAAGGAAACATGCTGGATATCGTCAATTCCTAGAGGCCTTATGTCCTTATGTTACCAGACTCATCTTCACATGTGTATGTATCTCACACGCCGTCTTGGGATTTAGTTTAATGGTCCAGCACTTGTGACGATGATGAAGATGGGGACGGCCCAGATCTGAGTATTTACCGTGCACCAAGCAGGATCATAGGCACCGCTTGGTTTACTCCTCACAATACACTAAGAGGTGGGGATTATGAGGACCACTCACAGAAAGGAAGCTCAGAGAGCTCAAGGCACTAGCCGCAGGTCACACAGCCAACTGTGGCTGAGCTGGGCTCTGTCCCTACGTTCAGCACAGCGCGCACAGAGAGCAGGTGCTTGGTGCCCGGTGGCCGACACTAATCTGAGGAGCATTTTTTCCCAAGGTGGCCGGTTCTGTCCCTAAACATGCAATAGATGCTGAATTCCATGGGTGCTCTGAACCCAGAAAGTCATTTAGCTAAGGGCTTTAGTGTGCCCCCTGACCGCACCAGCCTGCCCAACGCCGGGGGGCTGTGCCTCTTACCTTTTTTCGGCCCATTCTATGATCGGGTCCCACTCGTTCCTCTGAAGTTCCACTAATGTCGCTGGCTCTTCCACCCTGTAGCTAATTCATTGCAAAAATCACCTTCATTAATAAAAAAGTACAATTCCTTTACTCAGTGACAGACGGTAGAAAAACCTAAAAGGCAATAGCAAAAAACCTCTCTGCTCAGTTCCTCCCACCCAGCCCTACAAGTCCTTCTGGAAAGGAGTAGTTCTCAAAGTGTAGCTTTGGGGCCGGTGGCGGAGCCTCGCTTCGGATCCTGATAGAAATGCCAGTTCTCCAGCCCACCCCACACCTATGGAAAGCAGAAACTCAGGGGATGGAGGCCAGCAATGTGTGTTTTAACAAGCCCTCTAGGGAATGCTAATGTAACCTTGAGTTTGAGAACCACTGTCCTAAATGTCCCCAGTTATCGGGCAGGCCAAGGCTGGCGACGCTGGCAACGCCATTGTAAACACAAATACTACACCCCCAGATCCACGGGACACTGATCCTAGGGTGACCGGGACCCTAGGAGGCCGTGCCAGAGGCTAAGTCACTGCATCCCCACCTAGCCCAACCCTTCCAAGAGACCGTGCTCCTGGCCGTGAACTGCCCGCCTGCACCTCATGAGCCCACACGCCTCCTGGCTACAGGTGCAGCTGCTGGCTCGGCCGCCTGACTCTACCCGGTGCCACTTATTTTGACAAAGAAATGGGAGTCAGCCGAGGGGAGGCACGCGGCAAGGCCTCATGGGACGGGAAGATGACGGGGGCCCCTGGAAGGCCACCGTGAGGTGTGAGCAGAAGGGAGAAGAGACCGTGAGTGTGCAGGACAGTGGGCCGCTGCGGTGACAATGGGACAGCTCAGGATTCTAGAGCATTTGGGCCTGCAGACACGTGCCGCTCAAGCACACCTGTACTTGCCTTCAAAACCACCGACCAGTTAGCTAAAGGCCACGGGCAGGGCAGGGGGAGGATTCAGAAGCGGAAGGAGCCAGCTCCTGAGAAAAATGACTGTCTCCGTGTCCAAGCCGGCGAGTGAGAACGACAGTGCCTCCGTGGGCACGTGCCAGTGGCCACAAGTCCAGGACCGGGCGCCCACCGGGAGTTGGCAAGTGACCCCCTCGGCCCTGGAGCCTGTGACAGCTACCCCGGCCGGGACAGAAGGACAGCTGTCGGGCTGCAGAAGAGGAGCGCCCAGGGCTCTGACACTGGTGCGCCCTGAGGGGTCCTCCCTCCCGGGGACATGCAGGGTGGCTAAATGGTGGTGTCAGGCAGACTGCCTCACTGCCCTGTGGGATAAAGGAAAAGGGTCTACATCTTCTTCCGCTGATAACTGTCTGGGCAAAGGAGTCAAATAGCCCAAGGGAGCCACTCAGTCCAAGGGGAAGGCCCATCTAAATGTCGATTACCAGATGGTGTCGGTGTCCAGAAACTTCACAGCCGCCTGGATCAGCTGGTCCTTGGTTCGCTGGGTAGGGTTGTCTAAAGACGTGTTGCACAATGTGGTCTGGATCAGGAGGCAAAAAGCCCCGTCACCACCGCCGGGCCCAGGCAACAGCACTGCGTTCCCGGGGACACCGCCTCCAACACACGGCACGACGGAGAACCAGACAGCACCGCCAGAAAGTGCTGGAGCCAAAGCGGAGCCCTCGACCCCAGGTGTCTCCACACCTTCAGCCGTAGCTCATCGACTGAGAGCTCCGTGCCAAACGCTGCGTGTGACAGCCCGTGGGACGCTCACAACACCCTCGTGGTGACGTGCTCAGGTCTTGTGCTCTCCACTACCAGCTCTGCTCTATTTCATGTAATCCTTGTACCATCCTTTGGAGTAGGTACTATTATTACAACCATTTCAGAGATGTGACAATTGAGGCCCAGAGAGGTCAGATCAGCAAATAAGTCACGTAAGCATTACCGGAACTCAAAGTTGACTACCAGCTGGCTCCCTCACCACCTTAGGAAGCAGGGGAACAAATGAGCCAAGCCAGAAGGAGGATTACTCTTCCCGATAGGTTGCTTAGGTATGACAACAATTAGTTTGCGGCCTTGTCACCCTAATTTCATCAGACAGCCAAAGGAGCAAGCCAGCCCCACTAACTCCAGCGCTGACTGAGTGCTTGCTCTGTGCCAGGGACCTCGCCAAGGACTTTCCAGGCATCACCTCGTTCCGTCCTGACCACCTTGCTCGCCTTTCACTAGACGAGGAACCCAGGGCAGATAAGGGGCAGTAGCTTGCCCAAGGTTACAGTTTGGAAGCTGCAGAGCCTGGGCCTGCAGAACTCAGCCAGCCCCTTCCCCAGCCTGCTTGCTCTAGCACCTCCTGCGTGGCTGGGGGCCAGCCCCACCTGCCCTGAGGCCAGAGGAGGAACTGGCCATCCAGCACAGTGTTCTGAGCAGGGGACCGCAGAAGGCGGGGCCAGGAGGGGAACGGTCAGCATGCTTAAGGGGGCAAGTGTGGCTTGCCCTAAGGGCCTTATCCGAATCTGGAAAAGCATGTCCATTTTTGCCAGGTACCCTAGGAAGCCAGCAGTGGGGGGTATATGTGCATGAACTTGTTACCAGGTGCATGGTGTAGAACTTGATGGTGTCCTGCTGGGAGTCCCATTCAGTGGCCACTGCGATGGCCAGGGCCTCGCTGGGGACGGTAAAGAGCTTGGCTTGGGGAGTTCTCAGCTTCCTGTGGTCCAGGTTTATCTCAAAGCCACCTTGAAAGATCAAATGAAAACCTCTCAGGGATTGTTAAGTGAGATCGAGTGACCATTCCTATATTTAGCTACTTGAATTGGTGCAGACAAAGACAGCTCTGAGTCCCTTCACATAGGGCTCATAGAAACCTATCTGACAAAAGCGCGAAGGGTAATCTAACTGCTGCAACCAGCTAGAGATGAAAAATGTTTCTACCCATTCATAGGGGAAAAAAAAAGAGAGAGAGAGAGAGGCAGTCAAAACTTCAGACACTCACCTTCACCCTGTGTGATGCTGACATTCTGATAAAACCTCTTCCTTTCTGTAAAAAAAGATTTTTCAAAAAGGCAGTTTAAAATAACGTCGAGACAGCTCGGGAAGTGACAAGACCAGCTTGTGTCATTACTGCTAATGCCGATTGATTGGCTTGATTTTCATATCACTATTCAAGGCCTGCCCTACTCTACACGGCATAATCAACGGCTTCTGATTAAAGTTGGAGGGAGGAGGGCACTCACTCTCCAGGGATGAGGGAGGCACGAGACACTGGTCGTGTCCCCGCCAGCCCCCGAGCCTGGGAACAGTCTGATCACAAAGCATTGCGAAGCTGCAGCTGTCTGACGTGACAGATTCTTCCAGCACCTTATGCTTCAACTTCTAAGCATGCTCCCCACCACATCGCCCTCGCCGGCACTGCCCCCACTCCAGCACTGGTGCTTCCGTCCAAAGATCGGATCTGAGTGCGATAAAGCCAGAGATCCATTCTGGGCAAGAGTCTGATGCCTCTAAGTAGGCAAGAGAGGAAAGCCAGTGTGGACGTGCAGGTGCACATGTGCGGTGCACACGCAGTAAGGGGAGATCCCAGGAGCATTTCTCATCCTCTCCATCCAATTAATTAACCTAATTAACCAGCTTGCCTGCGTATTCAACAGGAACTCCAAGCATTTCCTTTTTTTCAAAAAAAATTTTTAATGTTTATTCATTTTTGAGAGAGAGAGACAAGACTGTGAGTGGGGGCGGGGGGGGAGAGGGAGAGGGAGGGAGAGAGAGAGAGATAGAGAGACACAAAATCTGAAGCAGGCTCCAGGCTCTGAGCTGTCAGCACAGAGCCTGACGTGGAGCTTGAACCCATGAACCGCGAGATCATGTCCTGAGCCGAAGTTGGATGCTTAACCGACTGAGCCACCCAGGCGTTCCTCCAAGCATTTCCTCGAAGAAAAGGGAAACAGGAGCCCCTGGGTAGCTCAGTCAGTTAAGCATCTGACTCTCGATTTTGGCTCAGGTCATGATATGTTTCGGGAGTTCGAGCCCCACACTGGGTTCTGCACCGACAGCACAGAGCCTGCTCTGGATTCTCTGCCCCTCCCTTGCTCATGCTCTCTCTGTCTCTCAGAATAAAGTTAAAAAGGGGGCGGGGAGAGGAAACCGTGTCCTGGGACATGTGAAAATAACTTGAATAAAATCTGGTACGAAAACGTAAACAAATTCCCCCTCTTCTACTTGGAGGGCTTAAAAACCAAGAGGGCCTCATAGGGAATTATACAGATTCCTTCGACTGGTAAAGAACAAGTAGGTCACATTTTGGGAGCTAGAAGCCATAATGCAGTCTTAACCTTTGTTAGCACAAAACCCTGATTCATTCATTCGTTCCTGCTGTCACGTATTCACTGGGTGCTAAACGCCTTCAGAGTCCACTAGTGAAGTTACTTGTTGGAAACAACCGATGCAGCATGAGGAGGAGGGAACTCATTAGTTTTTAATGCTTTTTAACTTCTTTTAGTGCTTTAAGAAAAAAAAAAGCAAACCAAACTGAAGTTAAAATTAATTCAAATAGACTGAAAATCAGGAGGGCTTCGTTTGTGCATGGGGGGGGGAGGGGTAATGGCAGGAGGGTATCTGGTCTTCCTCCAAACGTGGTATTTTCAGGTTTTCCACGACCCGTCAGGTTTCCCCCAATTTCGTGTTCTATCATTGGTGCTTCCACAAACAGGGCCCTGAATTGCATGCCCACAGTCACGCCTTGACTAAGCTAAGGTCCAAACAGGTTTCCCACTCCCAAAATGTGTATGCCTACCATGTGCCAGATACTGTTCTAGGTACGTGGGATAAAACCATGAATAAAAATGACAAAAACCCGTCTTCATGGAGTCTGAATGCTTGAAAAATAAATAAAGTGGCAGGATCTGGCCACCTAGATGCTCCTGCATTATTACGGCACGAGATGCCACTTTTACCTGCACTGATAACAGTGATTCTCTCATACATTTAACTCCACGACACAAAGCTTGCACCATCCTGGTGCTTTCAAATGCCCCTACATGACATGCCATCTGGTCACGTTCGGGTAGCAGATGACACGAATCTGGAGGCACCCGGACCACATCCAGTATGTTCTCCAATGCCTGAGCTGGGCAACGTGTCTCATGCCAGGCCAGGCAGGGAGTGGGAAGAGATCTGAAGGCTGACTCATCATCAGTGGGGGAAGATCTGTCCCCATCAGCAGGAAGCGCCAGCGGAGAGGATTCTAGCACACAGCGCGACACAGCTCGACACAGCCCCGGGAAGTGGGCCCAAGAGACGTGGACTGGGGGCCGAAACTGACAGCACAAGCGGAACCTTCCAAAGCGGGCGCGACAGTGAGGTTTCCCACGAGGGAAGTTTTTTTTAATCTGCTTTGCTGGTCAGGCTTTGGTTCCTCTGTCCTGGCCAGTCCCCCTCTGTACCTGATTCAGAGAACTGGAAGAGAATGGGAAGGATAGATGGGCAAGGAAGGGTCAACCCAAATTGCTCAAAACAGCAATAAGCCCTCAGAAAGAGACGACAGCCCTGGGCGAAAGGGACACAGAGGCTGCCAGGCCTCAGGCCAGAGCAGGCCCACGTGCAGCCAGTTTTGATCACGTGCTCTCCTGAACGCAGCAGACACACAAAGGGGCACACTTCAGGCTTAGAACAAACTTCCAGTGAGTAGCAATCCTGTTCCAAGAAGGGGAATAAGTCCTGGGGATCAGAATGAAAGCTCACTCCTGCCCTCAAGGCACTTCCTGTCTACTGGGAAGCCGAACCTGAAACCAGCCACGCAGTAAAGTGATTTTGAAGGCCAAAGTACAAGGGACACTGGAAATACACACACACACACACACACACACACACACACACACACACCAGGAGAGCCTAATCTCATCTCATCGTGGGCTAAAGGAAGACCTCCAGGCAGTCAGATTACATCTGAGACCTGAGAGAGAGGCAGAAGTCAGCCAACTTGCACTTGTGGATTCTTCTTCTGGAGCGGGCGGGTGTGGAAGGAGTATCCTGCAGAAGAAACTGCTTTCAGGAAGGTCTTCAGCCTCATGAGAGCAAGAGACTTTGGAGAACTAAAAAAGTGGCGGGAAGGACAAGAACATAGCCATCCTGCAGAGGGTGGTTTGAGATGCCCAGAGAGGGTGGTGAGGGCCAGAATGGGGGGTGGGGGTGGGGGTGGGCAGGTCACGATACAGAGGCAGAGGGAGCCAAGTTAGAGGTTCACACAGGCAAACAGGCCAGGATCTGGAAAACTCATTTGGTGGAAACCATGCCCCCAACAATGTCAAAAGACGGAGGCTCTTCACCTGGACCCTCAAAGGTCTTGGGTCACATGAAATAAATCGTGAGACCGGGAACCTCTGAAGCATGCATATTCTCAGTGAACACAGGACTAGCCGTCAGCAACAGGGACGTCATCTTTAAAGATGAAATCAACACCTAAGCCTTGTAGGATCACACAGTACTTGGGTCCATTCTAAGCATGAATCACTCTCTTTACAGAACATCTGTTTTGGCGGCAAAACACAGTCGGTGCCTTTTACATGTGGACTATGTAGATACAAAGATACAGGTATGTGGAAAAGTACTAAATTTTAAAAGCTAGCCACAAGAAAATAGGCTACATAAGCAGAGAAGCACAGAACTTTAAAAACCTGCTCATGTGATGAGTGAATTGGAAATTCATGACCATCAGGTCCTGTTCCTATGAGGTCTTTTCAATCCATACAAAGAAACACGCTGTAGGGGCTCAGTTGGTTAAGTGCCCAGTTCTTGATTTCAGCTCAGGTCATGATGGGTTTGAACTCCGTGTCGGGCTATGCGCTGACGGTACTGAGCTTGCTTGGGATTTTCCCTCTCTGCTCCTCCCCAACATGCATGTGCTCTCTCTCTCAAAATAAACTTAAAACAAAAAAGAAACAGGCTGTTTTCTGTGTCACTTCCCCTACACTCTTCTTCCTGTCCCAGGCTTCACAGACCAGTGAGCAATCTTTCTACCAGCCTCAATTTTTGCCAGGCCTTTCCTTAGGAAAGACTCAAAGCTTCAGAACTACAACTCCCACAGTGCACCCAGAACAGAGGAGGTGCCCTCGCAGGGCCGGCTCAACACCCTTTATCTTTTTAAACAGTGCCATCTGGTGGGCCTTACGCCTTAAAGCTAGATTCTGACTTCACGCATGACTCCATCCATAATCTTAGGGCGCTCCAACCATTTTCGAGTATCAAAATTCTTCAGACCAGGTATTTAAGAACTCTTACAGCTGAAAAATAAAAAGACAACCCAACTACAAAATGGTCAGAAGAACTGAATAGACATCTCTCCACCAAAGAAAATGTACATGATTAGCACATGAAAAGATGCTGGACTTCATCACCATCAGGAAAATGCAAAACAAAACGAGAAGAAACAGCTTTGCACCCAGTAGGATGGCTACAATTAAAAACCGGTAATAACTAGTGTTGACAAGGATGTGGACAAATTGGGACCTTCATGCAGCAGAGCTGGTGGAAATGTAAGCTGGTGTAGACACCTTGGAAAAGTGTGGTAGTTCCTCAAAGTCAAGTTACCAGTTGACCAGCAATTCTACTCTCAGATATGTGTCTGTGAGAAATGGAAACATATGCCCACATAAAAACTCATGTACATGGGGCGCCTGGGTGGCTCAGTCGGTTGAGCGTCCGACTTCAGCTCAGGTCATGATCTCCTGGTTTGTGAGTTCAAGCCCCGCGTCAGGCTCTGTGCTGACAGCTCAGAGCCTGGAGCCTGCTTCAGATTCCATGTCTCCCTCTCTCTCTACCCCTTCCCTGCTCATGACCTGTCTCTCAAAGAAAGATAAACATTAAAAAAGTTTAAAACAAACAAAACTCATGTACACACACACACACACACACACACAAACTTGTACACAAATGTTTATAGCAGCATTCAGAATAGCCAAACGATGTTAACAACCCAAATGTTCATCAGTAGATGGATGGATAAATGTGATATGGCCATAAATAAGATGTGATACAGCCATACAAGTGGATATTATTCAGCTATGAAAAACAATGGGGTACTGATCCATGTTACAACTTGGATAAACCTTGAAAGCAGTCTAAATAAGGGGCGCCTGGGTGGCTTAGTCGGTTGAGCGTCCGACTTTCGCTTGGGTCATGATCTCGCGGTTTGTGGGTTCGAGCCCCGCGTCGGGCTCTGTGCTGACTGCCAGCTCGGAGCCTGGAGCCTGTTTCAGTCTGTGACTCCCTCTCTCTCTGACCCTCCCCTGCTCACGCTGTCTCTCTCTCTCCTGGAAAAAAATAAAACATTAAAAAAATTAAAAAAAAAAAAAAAAAGAAGAAGAAAGCAGTCTAAATAAGAGCCTGCCCAAAAAGACTACATTCCATTTACGAAATGTCCAAACTAGGGAAATCTACAGAGACAGGAAGTAGGATGGTAGTTATGTCTTGTGGGGGTGATAAAAATGTTCTAGAAAAGGGTGATGGTTGTACAGTTCTGAGAATACTAGAAATCACTGCATTCTACATTCTAAATGAGTGAATTATAAGTGAATTGTGTCTCAATAAGGCTGTTAAAAAATTTCTTCAGGGTGGGGGCGCCTGGGCTTAGTCGGGTGGACATCTGGCTCTTGATTTCGACTCAGGTCATGATCTCACAGTTCGTAGGATTGAGCCCCACATTGGGCTCTGCACTGGCAGCACGGAGCCTGCTTGGGTTCTCTCTCTCTCTCCTTCTCTGCACGCCCCTCTCCCCAAATAAACAGATAAACTTTAGAAAAAGTTAAATAAAAATTCTTTGGGGGCAAATACATCTGCCATAGTCATTAATGTAAATGAGCTAAATCACTAAACATGTGGTTTTTTTCCCAATTGCTCTAGCATCCTGAGGAGGAGCGTTGGCCAACTTTTCCCATAAAGGGCCAGAGTAAATATTTTAGGCTTGGCGGGCCATATGATCTCTGTCGCCAGTAGTCAGCTCTGCAGTGAAAGTGGCTGTCGATTATATGAAAATGAATGAGCATGGCTGTGCTCCAATAAAACTTTATTTACAAAAACAGGTGCCAGGCTGGGCTCTGTCTACAGAATCTCCCTCAACCCAACAAAGCCACTCTATGAAAACAGGGCAAGTAATGCCTCGAGGGGGTAGAGGTTCTGAGAAGCTAAATGACTTGTCCAGGTGACAATTTGTAAACAGAGGAGAGCCTCGACTTCGCTGGGCACGGCACTCAGCCAGACAAGCAGCCTCTCCAGAACACCTTCCCTGTCCGGTACAGAGCTGGACCACCCCCTAACCCTCACACAGGTCTCCTTGCTGCAAAATCTCCGCCAACACCTCAGGGAGCCTTTCCAAACCCCTCCTCTCCTGTAACCCTTCAGTGGCACTGCGATTCTGAAGGAGCCACGTTCAATCGGCTTGCCAGCCAAGTCTTCATGGAGAAGGCTTCCGCTTGGGTTTAGCATTCCACCATCCCAGAGACTCATAGAATCTCAAATTGGTGATGTCTCATTGGCCTGGTTTCAGGTACCGCCCTCCCACTGGGTTTATTCTTTCATTCCTATTCTCTTTCATGTTTGACTACCTACCACGAGCCAGATACTTCCAAGAGCCTAAACTAGTAAAGTGTGCAGAAGAAAGGAAACAGGGATGGGAGATCGTGTGCCACCATGGTGGGAAGTGGCATCCACTAATCTAAATTAACCCTCTGCCGGTGCAAGTTTAAGTGAACTCCTGAATGTGTCCCCTTTGCTTGTGTCGTTATCTTCCTGGGATATTGCAAAGGAAACTCTCGTTTTCCTTTACACGTTCACACAGACACTCTGTACTCCAAATGTGCCACCCGTCTACTCTGTGACACCAGTGGGTATCCTACAATTCAGCTAAATTCTGACACCATCTGCCTGGAGACTGCATCGGATCCCACAAGGTGAGGGCTCGGTCCTACAAGACTGCATCCTCCCCCCCCCCCCCCCCCGCCTTCAGATGCCAAATGCAAGCCCAGATTGTCTCCTATGCTTCTGACTGACTGGCTATATACATCAGAGGTTCCCAGGACCCCTCCTCAGATTTGATGGATTTGCCAGAGTAGCTCACAGCGCTCAGAAAAAAGATTTTACTTACTAGATTACTAGTTTATTATAAAAGGATACAACTCAGGAACAGCCACAGGAAGAGATACACAGGGCAAGGTGGGGGTGGGGGGGAGGAAGGGGATAGGCTTCCATGCCTCCTCTGGGCATGCTACTCTTCCAGCAACCAAACCTGAAGCTCCCTGAATCCCTCACTTCAGGGATTTTATGGAGGCTTCATTACATAGGCACGATTGATTAAATCACAGGCCATTAGTGATCAAATCAGTCTCCCGCCCTTCTCCCCTCCCTGGAGGTCAGGGGGTGGAACTGAAAGTACGAGAAACTATTCTTGTGGTCGGTTCCCCAGGCAACCAGCCCCCATCCTCAGGTGCTTTCCAAAAGCCACCTCATTAACATAACCTCAGGTGTGGTTGAAAGGGGCTTATGAATAAGACACTCCTTTCGACTTGTATCTCTGAGGCTATTTTAGGACCAGAGACCAAATGTTATAACAAGAGCTTCTTCCGTAGCTCTTACTACTTAGTAGTTACAAGGTTTTTAAGAGATGCGTGCCAGGAACTTGAGGAAGACCAAATATATAGTCGATCCTTGAACAACATGGGTTTGGACTGCGCAAATCCACTTATACCTAGATTTTTTTTTTAACAGTACAGTACTGTACAGGTTATTTTTTCTTCCTTGTGATTCTATTATAATTTTCCTAATAACATTTTTCTATCTAGCTTACTTTATTTTAAGAATACCGAATATTATGCATACAACACACAAAATGGGTGCTAATCTACTGTTTATGTTCTAGCTTAAGGCTTCTGGTCAACAGTAGGTTATTAGTCATTCACTTTTGGGGGAGTCAAGAATTATATATGAATTTTTGATGGTGGGGTTGTGCTGCTGCCCCTAACCCGTGTGTTGTTCAAGGGTCAACTGAATATTTCTCCTTATAACTCACAGTATCACAGATGCCCTTCCCTCTTTACTGGCTCTTCATGGCCCACGTCCAGGCCCTTCAACTTGGACCCTGACAGGTGAAGGCCCAGCTCTTTGCTGCATCCAACTCTCTCCCCCATTTGTATAAAATTACGAAACTTAACATAAGGACCCTCAGAGCCAACCTAGTCCTTCAACTCACAGAGGAAAACGAGGCCCAAAGGAAGCAGTCTCATGCCCAAGATCACACAGGACCTCAGAGGTTCGGCCAGCATTAAACCCCAGATCTGAACTTCCGCCACAATGCTAAACTGCCTTAGAGTTCCAGATTTTCTAGAGCCGGCAGCTTTACAGCAAGGTTCCTCACACTCTGCTGTCATCTCTGAACTTGTCTGGGCAACCAACGCTCTTCCTCCTCCTCTTCACTGAACTCCTACTCATCTGTCAAGACTCAGTTGAACTGTACTTTCATCCAAGACCCTTTCTAGACCCTCAAAACCCCCAAGGTGGAAGTAGGTGCTTCTTTATGTTCCCCCAGCTTCTTTGTATTTCCCTTATCAAAAGACGCTGCACACTATTGTTTAATCAGACTATTATAGACTGCACTTGACAGTGAACATCATTAGAGGGAGACCAAGTCTGCCTTGACGGCTACTGCCTCCAGCTCTCAGCACAGAAAAACTAGCTGAATGAAAAGAGTGTTACTACTTTTCACTCATTTAAAGGAGTCACTCCCACTCTTTCCCTAAAACCCGGCCCCAGAAGCAGTGAAACGAGCCACTATCTCCTTCTAGGCCTTATCAGTCAGAATTAGAAAAAGGAGGCACTAGGGTCCACTCCTTGGCAGAAATGGCAGGGATTGCAGTAGGGCAGTGGGAGGGAGGGCCAGGAAACCTGCAGAGAAACCGGCCGGGATGGAAGACTTGAATGCCGACCGAATGCCCGGTTCCAGGGTCCTTCTGTGCCTAACCATGGGGACACAGAAAACAGGCCGATCTTTGCCCTCAACAAACTTCTCATAGGGTCTGCTCTGTGACCTTGGCGTAGTCCTGATTCAGAACCCGAATTTCCCTGTCTGAAAACGAGAATGCCATCTGCTTTCCTTACTGGAAAGGAAAACCATAAGCGCTGAGAAAAGCTGCACGTGCCAAAAGGCAATTACTGTCTCCAGCAAGGACGCGCTGTGTGCCCTCGGGTGGTCTGCCCTTGCCCGGGCTTCTGTTCCCCCCGCCCCCCGCCCCGATCTGTAGCAGGACCCGATAGAACTACGTAACTTCATGAGCCTGCGCCCTGCCTCGGTTACCCCACCTGCACAGCCGAACCCCTCAGCCCACCTTAGCCCGGCTCGAGCCCCGGCCAAAAGAGTACGTTCTGGTCTCCCTCACCTGTTGGGGGGACGTAGGCCCGGGCAGGGGACAGGGGGGTTGGCACCGGCCCCACGGAAGCGGTGAGGGCACCCCGAGGCTGGTTCAGGAGGCGGCGCCCCGCGTCCCGCAGCCGGAGGCAGCTCCTCCACATCGCGCCCGAGACCCTGGGAGGACTACCCGCGCGAAACCTGAGAGCAGGAACCAGAGTGAAGGGATCCCCAAGCCGCACGCTTTGGCTGTACGGAAACCTCTCACCACTCCCCAGAGCCCTCAGCCTCCCCTGGACGCCGCCATCTTCCGCATGACACCAGCGGCGCGCCGTCGCTCCTGCGCGCCTCCTGCGCACACCCCCAGTCAATCAGCATCACAAACGCACCTCGTCCCGCCCCCTCCACGCCGCGCCTCGGAATGAAAACTACAAGTCCCAGAGGGCCGCTCGCGCACCCCGCCACGTGTTTTCTCCGCCCGCCAATGGGTGGAAGCGCCGCGTGAGCCTGTTCCCGCCCCCGGGGCGCGCCCGAGCCAATCGGAAGGGTGGTGTGTGTGCGAGGGCAAGTGGGGAGGGGGACTCAGCTCAGGACAGGGAGGCCCTGCTCGCAGGTCCCGGGGTCCCGGTGGCAGCCGGAGCGCTTGGTCCGCAGGCAGCGGGCGGGTGGTCCCCCCTCCGCCCCCACCCTGCGCGTGCGCGCCCCGGCCCCTCCCTCCCTGCCACCCCCCTCGGCTCCCGCGCGGCGGCGGCGGTTCCTCTCCCCCTCCCCCCAACCCTGGCTCCGGGGGACCCCGCGATGCCGGTCCGCACCGAGTGTCCCCCGCCGGCCGGTGCCTCGGCCGCCTCCGCGGCCTCGCTCATCCCGCCGCCGCCCATCAACACCCAGCAGCCCGGCGTGGCCACCAGTCTGCTCTACAGCGGCTCCAAGTTCCGCGGCCACCAGAAGAGCAAGGGGAACTCGTACGACGTAGAGGTGGTGCTGCAGGTGAGCGCCGGGCCGGGCCGGGCCGGGGCCCGAGGGCCTCCTCGCGGCGCTCACGGGCCGTGCCCGCCCCGGCTCCTCGAGCCCGCAGCCGCGGACCAGGCCCTCGCCGCCGGGCCTCCTGCACCAGGCGCTTCACCCCCGGGACCTACCCAGCTGGTGTCTCACACTCTCCAAGCCCCTACCCTGACCTGCCCCTCACACGGGAGCCTGTCGTGGGCAGCTCCTGGCGGACCCTGAACACTCTCCCAGACTCGAAGCCCGTGACCGGCCTGCCTGGGATCCGGAAGCCCCCTGTGACTGGCCACCCTCTGACCTGGGTCCTTCCTCCCCAGGACCTGTCACCCCAAGATCAGCTCTCCCTCCAGACCCTCCCAGAACCTGAAGAACTCTCCATTGGTTTCTCCTGCCTGGGGACCCCACCTATGGCTGGGCCCGTGTCAAATTATCCCAGACTTGAGACAGTCCTCCTCCCCTCCCCTTTCCTCAGTTCCAGGGATCCTCAAACCTTGGGGCCCTCCTCCTCCCAGGATTTCTTCCTTGGGAGAGCCTAGTGCCCCGTCAGACCTGGGAGCACTCTCCCTACCTTAGCCCCCGAGCCTGAGAACCCCCAACCCACAACTGATACCTTGCCTCTGGCACCCCCTCAAGACCAGGCTCTCACACCCTGGGTGCTGCTGGGTGGAGCTCCTCCCAGTCTGTTAGGATTTTGCCTCCTGCCCCCCTCCCCCCCCCCCCCCAACTGGCCCAGGCACCCAGCCTCTGCTTCCTCTCTTACTCCCTACCTCCGTTCTCTGGCCACCTCCAGTCCCCTCCCATTCTCCCTGACCTGTGTCCCCGTACCTCCCCAACCCATACCTTCATTTTCCTTCTCCTTGGCTCCGGGGGACCTTCTTTCTATGTTCTTAACTTTTATCTACACAGCCAGGTCTTCCTCCCAGCGTCTGATACCCATGTGCTGGGAAATCGAACTCACCCAGCATTATCTCTCACACGGTATTTCCTTGCTGTCTCTCTACCTCCCCCCGTTTGACCTGAATTTCTGAGTACCTGCTGCCAGCCCCTGATAGCTTTTGGAGCTCAGCTTTACCTACTCTGGCCCTTTTCCGCACCTCACCCCTCTCAGGCAAATAGTAACACACTTGATATTTTTTCCCAGCTAGAGGAAATCAACAGTGCTTAGTACTCCTTTTTCTCTCCCTTCCCTGCAAAACTCTTCCTCCATGGCTACCCTTGCCTGCCTCCGGGCCCACTTTCCTCCCCGCTTTGCCCCCTTGATTCCTTAGCCTCCTAGGCTGTTCCCCCAAAGCCCCTCCAAACATCTGTCCCCTTGAAGGCCTCGCAAAAGCTCTGAGGACCTCGTGTGCCACCTTACTGCTCCCTTGTGCGAGGACAGAATGTAAGCCACGTCTTTTCCTCACGTGCCCTTGGCTCTTTAAAAATGTTAAATCTTTAAACAGCCTCTCCTCTGAGCAAGTTGGTCTCCCACCCCAAAGTCAGTGGGGATAACATTTTCTTTTTGCTAACAGCAGGGCACCATTAGCCTCTTATTTCTTACTGCTTTGGGGGAATCAGCAGTTTCCTCTTTTGTCGGTTGGGGAAAACTGCATCTTCATGTTAATCGTACCTTTGGTCCGTAAACTTAAAGGGCTGTCATGAGCCATGGTATTTATTATAACTGGAAAACTATTGTGACTGAGTCATTCGTTCTTCGTAATTATAGCCCTGACACAGTGGTGGTCTCTCTTCCCTTTCGCTTAAAATGTGACAATTTAGTATGAAGGTAAAGGCTTGCCTTTTTTTTTTTTTTTTTTTTCGCCCCTGCAACAAATCATAAAATTCTGGAAGTGAGCTCCTTGGTTGTGGGTCGTGTTTGGAATGCTCTTGACTTTGCGCCCGTTGTTTAATGTGATGCTTTCCGAGGTGGTAGGGGGTAACTTGGCAGGGGAGCTAAGTGTCAAAAAGAAGTTGTCTTTGGCTCCTTCAGCAGCTACCCCCTTCTGTCATGAGTGTGTTGATTCTGAAATCTTGTCAGGTGCCGATTTCCCCGTGAACCGCTGTATGTGGTGATTGAGTTGGTACATGACGCGGTCTCAGGTCCCCCAGGGCGGAAACCTGGCTGCTGGTTTCAGCCTTCAGCCCTCAGTAGGATGTCTGATGGCGGGAGCGGTGGTCATGCCCAGGAATGCTGCCCTGCTTCTGGACTGGTGAGCTGTTTGTCCGTCATTGAGACAGTCAGCAGCATGTGAATTGCTCCATCACCTGGTTTTACAGCTGGGACTCATTTCTTCGACTCAGCCTTCGACTACTTCTGCCTTTCATACCTGAGCCTCCTTCCTTCTTTCTTTCTTTTTGGTAACAGCTTCGTTGAGATATAATTCACACATCATAGAATCTATCCAATTTAAGGTGTACAAGTTCAGTAGTTTTTAGCAGAGTCACAGACTTGGGTAAGCATCGGTGCAATCTAATTTTACAACCCTTCCATCACCCCCAAAAGAAACCCCACCCCTTAGCCATCACCCCTTTCCAACTCTAGGCAACCACTAATTTTATTTTCCCTAAGATCTGCTTATTCTAGCCACTTCATATTAAATGGAGTCATATACTATATGACCTTTTGTGTCTAGCTGCTTTCACCAAGCCTAATGTTTCCTGGGTTCACCTGTGTCATAACACGTGTCAGTGCTTTATTATTTTTTATTGTTGTGTAATAATCCATTGTACGGACATACAGCATTTTGTTTGTCCTTAGAGCATCCTTGATGGATAGTTGGGTTGTTTCTCCTTTTTGGCTCTTGTGAGTAACGACGCTGTGAACATTTATGGACCGAGGGTTTTTTTTGTTTTTGTTTTTGGGGTTTTTTTAAAGTATATTTTTATTAATGTTTTTTTATTTCTGAGAGAGAGAGAGAGAGAGAGCATGAGCAGGGGAGGGCCAGAGAGAGAGGGAAACGCAGAATCCGAAGCAGGCTCCAGGCTCTGAGCCAGCTGCCAGCACAGAGCCCGATGCAGGGCTCGAACCCACGAACCGTGAGATCATGACCTGAGCCAAAGTCGGATGCCCAACCGACTGAGCCACCCAGGCGCCCCTGGACCGAGTTTTTATGTAGGCACGTCCTCATTTCTCCCGGGTAGCAACCTAGGAGTGGAATGTGGGCTTCTATGGTAACTCTATGTCTAACATGTCAAGGAACTGCCAGACCGAGGTCCAGAGTGCCAGCATCATTTTGCATTCCCACCACCAGGCGATGAGGGTTCGAGTCTCTCCACAGCCTTGGCATCTTTGAGATGGTAGTCATGCTAGCGGGTATGGAGCGGTTATCTCGTTGTGGTTTCGACTGGAATCTCCTTCCTGGCTAATGATGTTGCACATCTTTTCCTGTGCGTTTTGGAGCACTTTCTTTTCTTGAAGCTCCAGTTTAAAGAGCTCCCCCAAACCTTGCGAGATTCTGGCCGGGATTTTGCTGTTGCTGCTGTTACTGTGACCACTCTGTTTCTCCTCTGCCATCCGAGAGCCGAGAGTAAAGTGAAGGCCAGGGTCACCATGAAAGCATATTAAAAAGAGCAGCTGTTGGACACAGCTGTGCTATCAGATTCTCTTGCTAAACATTTGCCTTGTCCTCTTTCTCATGGAGATGCTGGTCTGTCATTTGGTTAAAGTTCTCCGTGTCGTGTCGTGGTGTATTAGAGCTCACCCACTATCACCAAGATCAATTTGGGCAGATTGGGAGAGACACATGGTTGAACGGAGGCCAGACTGCATTTCTGATCCTCAAGCACGTGATAATCCATGCAAAATGTTAGCCAATTTACAGTTCAATTTTTAATCTTATTAGCAGGTATCCCAGTCACCTGATACCCTTTCCAGCAGCTGTGGAGCCCCAAACTCTATTGAATTCAGTGAGAATTGCATACATGAAATTCAAGGCCTCAGGTTAGAGCCGTGTGTCTTTTGATGAAAGTTCTCTGCTGAGCTGCGTTAGCACAGATCAGCCACTTTGGACATGAGGATATTTTAAATGCTTGGGCGGTTTTCACGTGGAATACCTTTGTCACCAGCACCAAATCGTGGGAGCGTTCTAGCCCCATCGAAGCCCATTTGCTTTGGTGCTGACCTCATCTGGCTGACTGCATTCATTACAGTTTTTAAGGATTGCCTCAGTGTCTGATTTCTGGTGTAGTTGGTAGTAGTTATATCCCCAGACCTAAAAAAATGCCACAAAACTCTCCAAGTTGCTTAAAATGAGACCTCACTTAACATGAAAATCTCAATGTGCCGCGGCGCCAGGCTACTTTGTCTTGCTTCAGTTCGGGGCGTGTACTTTATCTGTGAGCCCCACGAGCGTGAACTCCGAAAATCTGCCTGTTGAGGGTCAGTGGGTACGGATTTGGGTGAAGTGGCTCAGTTAGGGTGCACTCAGCTGCAGGTAACTGTGCCCTTTTCGGAATAGTTAAAAGAAGGAGTGAACCTGTCATCTCAGGTTACAAGAAGCCTGGAGGTGGCTTGGCTCCAGACTGGGTCATGCGGTGGCCGCTTCCTTCCATGTTTCTGTGCTGCCATCCTTGGCATTTCCCGGCCCGTTTCCCCTCACGGTCTCTACGTGGCTGCCCTGGGCCTGGGCACTGCGTGCAGATATGCCACCGCCAGGGGAAGAAAGAGAGTCTCTTCAGAAGCCCGGGTCTTTCCCAGCAGCACCCAGGAGATTCACACACATGTCTGATTGGTCAGAACTGGGTCACTCACCCCTGAACCGATGACTCACAAGGGGCCGGGGGCACGTGTTAGCCTTGCACCCGGCAGGGCTGACCAGGTCTTGTGGGGGTAGGTTAGGTGCCCGAACAGGATCTGGGCCCTGCCAGCATGGGAAAGTAGGAAATTGGTTGTTGGGTAGGTAGCCGGCCATGTCTCAGCAATCCGTGATTGGTGCACACTGCGCCTCACAACCTACTATGCGTGTCACCGTTGTTTACTTTAGGCCCCTAACTCTTCATCGAGAGATACAAGCATTCGTACATGAAACGGGGCAGAGTGGGCCCTCACAGTACATTCCAGTCTGGGGTCAGCGTCCCGGTTCACAAGTGAAATTTTTGCCAGAGGAGTAAGATGCCTTCCGTTCCCGTAACATGCTCCCCGTTTCATAAAGAAATAATGCGGGACTGTGCTGAGTGTAAATACGGGCGAGGAAGATATTTTGGAGACCAGCGGGAGACCTGTGTCGAGCGAGCTCCCTGTTCCAGAATGGCGCTTTGGTCTCAAGATACTCAGCTGAAGAGGTTGAGAGGGTCCTGGGATCAGGTAGCTGCTTCTGAACTGGCACGTGGGTAGTGGGGGGCTCACAACAGTCTCAGAAGGAGGTGAGGCCTGGCCGTGCTAGGCGCCCGCCAGCCTCCGGGCCTCCCTCAGCCCAGCTGGCCCTGACCGCCGGGCGCATGGGTTTCCACAGCAGCCCCAGCTCGTCTCCCAGTGCTTCCTGCATGTGTAACGAGGCCGTGTGTCCTTTCTTTGCAGCATGTGGACACGGGGAACTCTTACCTTTGTGGCTACCTGAAGATTAAAGGCCTTACTGAGGTAAGCGCTCATTCAAATGAGCTGGGACTAGAAGGGGGACCGCGTGCTCGGCGCGCTGAGTGTGAAGGGCCGGCAGTGTCCACTCTGAGGCCTGATGAAAGCGCCCTACTGAGTGTCATTAGTATACAGCGAGCTCAAAGAACGTGGTTTTCACATGTACACTGAGTCACATATGCGTAGAAGTGTATACATGTGTCGTATCGTTGCCAACAGTGTTGATTTCATTTTTAATCCTTTTGTGGAACAAGAATATACATGGTGAGAACATGGCTACCACCTCCTCACCTGCCATTGCAAGTTTTTAAAAGTCTCTCAGGCAAGCATTAATCCTTCCAGAGCCAAGGCCTTTGGACTTCTTTACACCTTTTGGTTCACTGGGGCAATGAAGTAGCTAACGGAAGTAGCTGCTATGGAAATGTAGGGTGTTTTCCTTTCCTTGAACCAACTTTTTTTTTTTTAATTTTTATTTTTATTTCTAGGAGAGAGAGAGAGAGAGAGAGAGACAGCGTGAGCAGGGGAGGGTCAGAGAGAGAGGGAGTCACAGAATCTGAAACAGGCTCCAGGCTCCGAGCTGGCAGTCAGCACAGAGCCCGACGCGGGGCCCGAACCCACGAACCACAAGTTCATGACCTAAGTGAAAGTCAGACGCTTAACCGACTAAGCCACCCAGGCGCCCCTTGAACCAACTTTTTAAATGTCAGAACTCCTGGGAATATACAAAGAAGCAAGAGCATCCTTTGTTTTCCTGCTAGTGAGTAAACAGGGAGAAGGAGGAAGGGACGGGACTGGGCACCTCGCTCCTCCTTGAGGGCCTGAGCGTGACCTGGCGGCAGAGCCCTGTTGGCCTGACCAGTCCTCACTGTCTCGGTGGCCCAGCAGTGTTGCGATTGGTCCCTGGAGCCATAGACAAGGTCGGAGGGACCGCCTTGCTTTGCCCTCTACTGGTGCCAGGACCTTAATGAGAATTAAAAATACCTGCTCTGCTACCGTAGTAGCGAGCGCAGCGCAAGGTGATAACGTCGAGTAGCTACGCAGCAGACCTGACACCCACGTAGCGGTGTGTGTCAACTGTAGTTGGGTAATAACTACTCAAATCAAATCGAGTCAAAAACACCCCCTCCGTCTCCTAATCCTCGGGGGGCTCATCAGAACGCAGAGGAAACAGTGTAAGAGTAAGAGGGAGGCTATGATATGACACAAATAGGAGGCTGCTAACTGAGGCCCAGACCATTGTCTCCATCTCTTTGATTCCATCTGGTTCTGTGGCTTCTCTATTGAAAGTTTGAGACTTTTTTATGAAGTTTGTTGTTGGCGTGAAAAGGTAACTACTCCTCCCTTCTAGGCACTTACCCAGTCAGGTAGGGGTAGAAAATGAGAGTAAAATGAGGGCCTCCAGCCTTTGAATTTGAGGTGGTAGAAAGCAAAGTGAATAGAATATACTCAACTCACACAATAGGGAGACAGGTGCATCCACTGAGCACAGGACATTTCACTTCATAAGCAAACCAGCAAAATTTGTCCCCAGGAATGTTAGCACTGATTCTAAGAACAGCCACTGTGGTCATAGGAAGCTGCATGGAAATGTCAAGCATTACAAATCCCCAAACCGTGTACAGAACTTCTGGGAAGTTTCCGTCAGGAGCAAATGACCCTAACAAGGTGGGGGAAACCTCTGAGTCATGAGCAGCCAGGCTCCCTGAGAAGGAGGTGCTAGCCCAGCCTGTCGCTGGGGCCAGCTCGGGGGGACTTAGGCTAATGGCAGGAATGAGGAGACATCCACCTGGCCGGTCCTTCCCGCCTGCGCACGAGCGGCCTCACGAGCGCATGTCCCCCAGACTGGTCTGCGCTGGGTTGAGCAGTAGGCTGAGGCGTGGCCCTCAAGTGGCATTGAACTAGAGAAAGGCAGCTGTGTTTCTGAGGCTCCTAGGACCTCAGGATTCCTCAAATTTCATCTCTCAACAACCCCTTTTTAGTAGCTTTACTGACATACAGTTTACATACTGTACAGTTCACCCATTTACAATGCAGGGGCAAACTCGCTGGCTCAGTCAGAAAAACATGCGACTCTTGATCTCAGGGACATGAGTTCGAGTCCCACGTTGGGCACGGAGCCTACTTCAAAACATAACAAAATAAAACGTGTAGTTCATTGGCTTTTAGTATAGTCATGGCGTTGTACAACTGTTGACTCAGTTTTGAAATTCTAAATCCAATACATGGTCACTGGACACGATCACTGAAGTACCAGAAAAGGTGAAGATTCTCTGAAAGACTTTATACCTGTGTTCTAAAATACAGCTGCTCCTGTCTGTTTGCTTTGACATTTATAGTTGTTAGAATATCGAGTAAGTAATTTATTTTAATAAAACCATTTAAATGGTTGAGTTTTAGCCATGGTCTTCCTCTTGTACACAACGTGGAAAATTAACTATTAAGTTGGAGGTCACTGGTCTCTTAGCTGCCTCACCTTCACGAACGAGCATAGTGTTTTTACAAAGTTCATGTGCCTCCTGGGAGTGGAATCCCAGAATTATGAAGAATGGGCGTCAGGTAGCATTTTCTTTGCAGTTCGGAGCCAGCCACCAGCAGGATGAAGGGACATTTCTAGGGAGGCCCAGCGGCAGGCACAGGGCCTAGGAGCCCAGCCTCGGGAGGGTCACAGCCAGGCCGTCCGCTCACTCACTGGACAGGTTTCAAACCTTCTGCTGAGGTTGCGCTAGACTTGCTCTGCGCCAGGGAGATGGGTCACACTGCTCCACCTCCCCGGGGCTGGTGTATAAACAAGAATGCTCGTTTACTCATTTCTAAAATGAGGTACGTGTTTGTTCAGAAGTTCTCCCTGACGTAGTGGCCAGTGGGTGTTAATCCCCCCAGAAGGGGGTCTACATGGAAAGCCAGACCCATAAGTGGAGAGTTTTTGGTGGGCCTGTAATCCATGAGGGTAGGGGTTTCGACAGCTTACATGCCCGACAGCAGCTAGACCTACTGTAGGAAGCCCACGCCTGGTTTGGGGGCCGGGGGTTGCTGGCCATGTCTCTTCCTCTCTGACTTGTTTTTTTTTTTTTTTTTTGACGACCTTCCCACAGAGAAGAGTTTTTCCTTTGGTTTTATAAGTTACCACCAGTTTGGCTATAGTCAAGTGCTTGAGTTTTCTGGTCCTGCCCTGAGAGATAGTTCTTTATTTTTTTTTTTTTGATGACTTCTGTACATATTGACTCTCACTCATTAGGCAGTATTTATTTTATTTTTGGTCTCAGAGTTTGGGGGTACCCTCAATCACCCTGATCTACCTGAAACGTTTTTAAAGAGAAGACAGTGCAGAATCAGCTCACTTGGAAAACTTTCCATTTGAACCATAAGTATTTTCTTCATATTGTAAGAGGGGCCCTTTATCATTTTCTTCTTTGCTCTCTTGTGGAAGTTAAAAAAAAATGTTAAAGCTCAAATCTCAGAAAATCAATATGTATAGCTTTTCATTTACAATCTCAAGACATGGCTTGCTCAAGAGTGGCTTAGTCGGTTAGTTGTCCGACTCCGGTTCAGGTCATAATCTCACAATTCGTGGGTTCGAGCCCCGCGTCAGGCTCAGTGCTGACAGCTCAGAGCCTGGAGCCTGTTTCAGATTCTCTGTCTCCTCCTTTCCACCCCTCCCCCGATGGTGCGCTTGTCTCTCTCTGTCTCTCAAAAAAGAATCAACATTAAAATGAACTAATTTAAAATCTCAAGTCAGGTTCTGATACAGAACTTTCCCCCTTAGTAGTTCTTCCTAAAACAGACGAGTATGATTTATTTATACCATTAAAACCAGGTTTCCATTTAGGAAATCTCCTCTTTAATTTCTCCACTCTGCATGTATAAATACCTGAACAAGGAGCCCAGCCACGGTGTTGGGGTAAAGGGTTGCGGTTCAGTGGGGCGTGAGGGTGTTATAGATCTCAGAGTTCACTGTGAAGACAGCAGGCGGCCCTGGTGGTGTGTCGTGAAGCCCCTTCAGTCCGCTCTGGTGGCCGTGCTGTTTGCTGGGAGCCGCTGAACCAGTGTAGGTGCCTGTCAGCCACGTCCCCGGCTGCGTCATGGCAGGCCAAGCCCAGAGAAGTAGCAAAGCCATCAGAACAGATTTATTTTGTTTTATTAAAAAAATTTTTTTAATGCTTATTTTTGAGAGAGGGAGAGCATGAGCCGGGGACTAACAGGGGCGGGGGGAGGGGGGGAGGACAGAGAGAGAGAGAGAGAGAGAGAGACAGAGGATCCAAAGCGGACTCCACGCTGACAGCAGTGAGCTCATTGTGGGGCTCAAACTCACGAACCGCCAGATCATGACCTAAGCCAAAGTCAGTCACTTAACTGACTGAGCCACCCCGGCTCCCCGGAACAGATTTATTTTAAATGCATGCAGATGTTTGATGCAGAAAAAGAGGGGCTTCCATAGTGTCTGAAGAAGAAAGTAGGGTGGTCCCAGGGACATTAGGGCTGTAATCGTGGTTTGCCGGGCCACTGGCCACTAGTATCACACTCCCAAGAAGCACCAGGGGCTGGCAGCTGGGCTGAAGGGTTGGTTAGTTGGTTGGTCAGTTAATTGGGTTTTACAAATGCAGAGAAATGGTGGACTTCTTACATTGCTAACTTTTTCTTCCATTAGTGTTTTTCAAAATCTTTGGTGCCTCCTTCTTAGCAGATGAACAAATAACAAATAAAATTAACAAGAGCGTTCTAAGCACCCAATCAGGGTGACAGCTTCTCTTTTCCCCATGGTTATTTTTAACATTGTGATCTTCCATCACAGACAAGGTTTACATGTGTTCTCCCTAGTATAAATTGCCTTCATTCATATGATAAAATTAAATGTTACCCTAGCATATCAAGGTGTTCTGCAAAAAAGAAACAAAACAAAACAACAACAACAAAACAAAACCCAAAAAACCCACCCCCTGGAAATCTGAAGACTGTGCACAGGAGACAAATGACTGAGCTGGTTTGGGAACCAGTGGGCGAGACGTGAGGAGACTTAGCTGTGAGTACTGTGATTGTGGAGCCTTCCGGGTGTTTTCCTTGGAAAGTAAAATCAACCTAGTTACCATCTGCTTTGTATCCTAGAATACTCAGAATTTACTTGCCCAGGTTCTCTCCCCGAGTGATCAGTACATAACAGTAAAGTCAAGGAAGGGTTCTGGCAAAGTCCATAACGCCCAAGAGTCTTGGGGATCTCCGACCCAGGTCGACGCCACAGCCATCGGCAAATCTCTGGGCCTAACTCCAGGTTGTTGCTTACCCAGGGTGACCGTCTTTTCAAAATCCTAGGAAGAAGTTCAAAAGCAAGGTTGATTTTTCCTTTGGGAAAGGTTAAAACTCCCGTTCAACATGTTGTTTTGGTATTTGGGTTTTGACCACAGGAGTATCCAACCCTCACGACCTTCTTTGAAGGAGAAATAATCAGCAAAAAACACCCTTTCCTAACGCGGAAGTGGGATGCGGATGAAGACGTTGACCGGAAACACTGGGTGAGTAGGAGTTCTGTCCGCTCGCGGCCGCCGGGTGCTGCCGGGAAGCCAAGGAACTTAGCCCCCGGGGTCTTATCCCTGTGTCGCGTCCGTCCTGCCCACCCGTCCACTGTTCTTCCCCGGCTGCTGTGGGTGTGCACCCCGCCAGACGCGCCTCAGTGGCCGCTGTCTTCAGGGTTGGCAGGAGGCGGAGATGCGGTTCCTGGAGAGCGGCCCCCCCGTCTCCTGCGCATGGGCAGAGCCACGGGGCCGGCCTCTGACCCCGGCTACGGACCCCCGCGCCCGGGCTCGGCCGAAGTACCGTCAGCATGCCCCCGACCCCGAGTGTGTTGTAGCTCACCAGCAGTGAGCACTTGGAGGCTACTCAGGGTTAGTGCCCTCAAGTCCTCTCACTGGCTTTCACACAAGCTGTTGTGTCGTCAAAAACCCATTTCTCTACCTGTCAGAATAGCCTTCCGGTTTAGTTGACCAAGGTGATGATGGAGTTTGGTTTAACACTCGGGGAGTCCAGTGTGCCCGCCCTCTAAACACATTGGCAATGATTGTGTCAGTAATGAAAGTTCCAGAACTCCTCGTGCTTCCCACTGCCACTCACACCTGGCGTTCAAGTCACTCCTGATTCTGGCATAGTAGTCCCTCCCGCACACCCTCGTCTGAGTTACCATCACTGTAGATTAGCTGCTTTGCTTATTAATGTGTCCTACTTGAGATAGGAAAGGAACATCTTTCAAATGTTGAGTTTCGATCAAAATTAAGTTTGAGCTTTTAAAACCATTCATTTGTAAGCTACATGTTTTTTGGTTTTTGTTTTTTTGTGGGTTTTTTTAAAATTATTTCTAGGAGAGAGAGAGAGACAGACAGCACGAGCAGGGGAGGGTCAGAGAGAGAGGGAGTCACAGACTGAAACAGGCTCCAGGCTCTGAGCTGGCAGTCAGCACAGAGCCCGACGCGGGGCTCGAACCCACGAACNGTACTGAGCAGAAATTAGAAGAAAAAATTGTTTATGATTAAGTATGAAACAAATGAGAAATTCAGCATCATTTGAAGAACACTTCAAAATATTGCTAGCACAGTTCTGTAAAATAAGTTTTTATTTATTTATTTATTTATTTTTTTAATGTTTTATTTATTTTTTTAGGAGAGAGAGAGAGACAGCGTGAGCAGGGGAGGGTCAGAGAGAGAGAGAGTCACAGGCTGAAACAGGCTCCAGGCTCTGAGCTGGCAGTCAGCACAGAGCCCGACGCGGGGCTCGAACCCACGAACTGCGAGATCATGACCTAAGCGAAAGTCGGACGCTTAACCGACTAAGCCACCCAGGCGCCCCTGTAAGCTACGTGTTTTGACTGTTGCAGCAAATAGCACCAAAAGTCAGTCATTTGTGACCCATAATACGAGAGAACGAACAAGATCTAAGTCTCTGAGGATTCTCAGCTGGGGGCCCGAGTGGCTCAGTCAGTTAAGTGTCTGACTCTGGGGTCACCTCGGGTCATCATCTCCCGGTTCATGAGCTGGAGCCCCGTGTCGGGCTCTGCACTGGCAGCTCGGAGCCTGCTTGGGATTCTCTCTTTCTCTCCCTCTCTTTGCCCCTCCCCTGCTTGCTAGCTCTCTCTTTCTCTCAAAATAATTAAACTTAAAAAAAAAGCCAGTTGGGAAGCCTGAGTGGCACACGGTGGTGCTGCCGTCAGAAAATAGTGGAGGGCTCCTCAGTGCCACCTGATGCCACCCTGCCCAGGGCTGGCTCTTCCCACATGGCTCGACACATCATGAGGTGGCGCCTTCCCTTCCCAGACGGCCCCCGTGAAGACGATCTTCCTTGTACCGATGACAGCCTGTCTCCCATCCTGCTTCGTTTTCCAGCTCAACTTGGTTCTGCAAAAAAGCAAGCTCTTTGAGACTCCACGGAAAGTCAGTTCTAAGTTAGGTTGGCTGCAAATTAAATACACAGAAAGCAACTCCTAATTTTCCAGACTCCCATTAGAATACTGGAAAGTATCTGTGCCCGTCTTTGTTAGGTTGAATTGAAATATTTTGAGGGAGAGAGTGTCCAAAAAGGCCCCCCTGGACTCTGGCACACCGCCAGATGTAGTAGGACCAGGAGCTGGGCCTAAGAGCTCTTGACCTCACCCAGCAGCCTGGTGACATGTGAGGGACTCGGGGGTCTCCCATAACTCTCCCAGCCCACGCAGGAGTCCCAGATTCCCATGTGGGCTCCTAGAGCTGGTGGTGCGTTCTGTCTGTCGGGTTGGCAGCGCTTGATGCAGGCGAGCCTCAGAGGTAGTGCAGGTTCTGTTCCAGAGAACGGCAAGAAAGCAAGGCTAATGAATTTTGTTGGTTTCCCAGCACGTATAAAACTTCCGTGTATGCTACACTGTACTTTGTTAAGTATGCAATAGCGTTATGTCTAAAACAACGTGCATACCTTAATTTTAAAATAAGTTATTACTAAAAAATGCTAACCATCATCTGAGCTTTCAGCAAGTCCTTGTCTTGCTGGTAGAGGATCTTTTTTTTTTTTTAAAGTTTGTTTATTTTGAGAGAGAGTGGGGTGGGGGGGGGGGCGAGTCAGAGAGAGAAGCAAGAGAGAATCCCAAGCAGGCTCTGCGCTGCTAGACCTGAGCCTGATGTAGGACTCAGTCCCACGAATGGTGAGATGGTGACCTGAACTGAAATCAGAGAGTCGGATGCCCAACCAACGGAGCCACCCAGGCACCCCCCTGGTAGAGGGTCTCACCTGATGGGGACGGCTACTGACCGATCAGGGTGGTGGTTGCCAAAGGTCGGAATGGCTGTGGCGGTTTCCTAAAAGAAGAGAACAGTGAAGCGTGCCACATCGGTTGGCCGACTCTTCCTTTCACAAATGGTTTCTCTGTGGTATGGGGCTCTGATAGCATCTGACCCTCAGTAGAACTTCTTTCAAAATTGGATTCAATCCTCAAACCCTGCTGCTGCTTTACCAACAGAGTTCACGTAATACTCTAAGTCCTGTGTTGTCATTTCGACAGTCTTTGGCATCTTCACCAGGAGTAGATCTCGTCTCAGGGAACCACTGTCTTTGCGCGTCCACAAGAAGCAACTCCGTGTCCATTCAGGTTTCATCCTGAGAGTGCACCCTTCAGTCACGTGTTCCGGCCCAGCTTCTGACTCGAGCTCCTGCTGTTCCCCCCCATCTGCCTCCACTGGAGCCTTGAGCCCCTCAAAGTCCTCTGTAGAGTAGGAATCAGCGTCTTCCAAACCCCCGTTAATATTGATTGTTTGATCTCTTCCCGTGAATCACAGATGTTCTTGATGGCACCTAGAATGGCGAATCCTTTCGAGAAGGTTTTCAGTCTACTCTGCCCACATCCATCAGAGGAACTGCTACCTATGGCAGCTATAGCCTTATAACCTATATTTCTTAAATAAGAGGCCTTGAAAGTTAAAATCACGCCTTGGCCCACAGACTGCAGAATGGATGTGGTGTGGGCAGGCACCAAGAACACGAATCTCGCTGTCCGTCTCCATCAAAGCTCTTGGGTGACCAGGTGCAATGTCCATGAGCAGGAATCTTTTTTTCTGAGTAGTCAGTCTCAACAGTGGGCTTTAAATATTGAGTAAACTGTGTAAACAGAGGTGCTGTCATCCAGGCTTCTTTCTGTTAGTGGAGCGCAGGCAGAGTAGATTTAGCAGAATATTTTGAGGCCCTAGGACTTTCAGAATGGTGAATGAACATTGGCTTCAATTTCAAGTCACCTGCTTCATTAGCCCCTAATAGGAGAGTCGCCTGTCCTCTGAAGCTTCGAAGCCAGGCATTGGCTGCTCCTCTCTGGCTCTGAGAACCCTAGATGGTGTCTGTGCCCAACGGAAGGCTGTTTTGTTGAGTGTGGCCACCTTCACGAGTTACCTTAGCTCCATCTTCTGGGTATCCTGCCTCAGCTTGTGCATGAGCACTTGACATTTCACCTTGCACGTCTATGTTATGGAGACGGCTTCTCTTCTTAAACCTCCTGCGCGTGCGCGCACGCGCACGCACACGCACGCACACGCACACACGCACACACACACACACACCAGCTTCAGACTTTCCTTCAGCAGCATCCTCACCTCTCAGCCTTCACAGAACTGAAGAGCATTAGGGTCTTGGCTCTGGATTAGGCTTTGGCTTCAGGGAATGTTGGGGCTGGTTTGCCCTTCTGTCCAGACCGCTGAACCTTTCTGCACGCTAGTAATAAGGCTGTTTCACTTTCTCATCATTCATGCATTCACTGGAGTGAACTTTTCCTTTCCTCTGGGAACTTTTCCTTTGCATTAACAACACGGCTGTTTGGTGCAGGAGCGCAAGCTTTCACCTTCTCTTGGGTTTCGATGCCTCTCTCACTAAGCTTAATTGTGTCTAGCTTTTGATTTCAAAGGAGACACATGCAACTCTTCCTTGCACTGGAACGCTTCGAGACCATCGCATACTTTTTAATTGGCCTCGTTTCAGTATTGTTATGTCTCAGGGAAGAGAGAGGCCTGAGGAGACGGAGACAGATAGGGGAACGGCCAGTGAGTGGAGTAGTCAGAACGCACACAGCAGTTATCGGTTAAGTTTGCTGACTTATATGGGCCCCCAAACAATTACAGCAGTAATATAAAAGATCTCTGATCACAGAGGCGCCTGGGTGGCTCAGCTGGTTGAGCGACTGACTTCAGCTCAGATCATGATCTCACAGTTCATGAGTTCGAGCCCCACATCCGGCTCACTGCTGTCAGCACAGAGCCCACTTCAGATCCTCCATCCCCCTTATCTCTCAGCCCCTCCCCCACTTGCACTTTTTCTCTCAAAAATAAAATTTTAAAAAAATCACTGATCGCAGATCACCATAATAAATAAAATAGTAATAAAAAAGCTTGACGTCATGCAAGAATTACCAAAACGTGACACAGAGACACAAAGTGACCAAATGCTGTTGGAAAAATGACACCAATAGACTTGTTCAATCAGGGTTGCCAGGAACCTTCAAGTTGTAAAAAGTGCAACATCTGCAAAGAGCAATAAAGTGAAGCTAATAAAACGAGGACTGCCTGGGCGCCTGGGTGGCTCAGCCTATTAAGTGTCCTGCTCTGGCTCAGGTCATGATCTCCCATTTTGTGGGTTCAAACCCTGCGTTGGGCTCTGTGCTGACAGCTCAGAGCCTGGAACCTGTTTCTGATTCTGTGTCTCCTTCGCTCTCTGCCCTTCCCCTGCTCATGCTCCATCTCTCTCTCTCTCTCTCTCTGTCTAAATAAACATTAAAAAACAAAACAAAACAAAAAAACAGGACTGCCTATAAACTGGAATCAGAGACCTTGTATAATTTTACCCTCGGGTTTCCCAGGTGGTGGTAAAGTGGTGAGTATCATGGTGGTAACATAAAGTCCAGACTCCATAACCTTAATCTATTGAGGATAGAAATATATGTGTGACAAATTCTTTGAGTTAACAGTTCTGTATCTTAAATTTTGTTCATAGTGTAATTCTTATAAAATTAGTACATGCTTGTTTTTAAATAACAGAAGGAAAAATATCATCTATAGTAATAATACCCAAAGCTACAACAGGTATTAACCTGTTTTGTTTTGTTTTGTTTTTTTTTTAACAAAAATAGGATTGGGGTGCCTGGGTGGCTCAGTTGGTTAAGCCTTCGACTTCGGCTCAGGTCATGATCTCACAGTTCATGAGTTCGAGCCCCACATCAGGCTCTGTGCTGACAGCTCAGAGCCTGGAACCTGCTTCAGATTCTGTGTCTCCCTCTCTCTCTGCCCCTCCCCCACTCCTGCTCTGTCTCTCTCTGTCTCAAAAATAAATAAACTATAAAAATAATTTAAAAAAATAGGATCATGAGACACAGTTTTGTAATCTATTTCTGGTCTCCTTTTATAAAAGAAAGTAATCATATTACCCACTTCCAATTCCTTCTTCGCTACCCTGCCCCCAACCCCTCTACTCTGCCGGAGGACCCCCCCTGTAGCAAGCCTTCTCTCCCCCTTTGCTGTGACGGGCCAGCTCTCAATTGTTCTGCGTGACTCTCGTTGCGACCATTGACTCCCCTACAGAGAGGTCACTGGTCATTCCCGGCTTTGTCTGCACTAAGGTGTCCTGAGAAAGGGCCCCCGGAACAGCATCCGCTCCAGCCCGGGGCCTTTCCTCAGACCACATGAACTGGGCAGGCATAGCTCCATGATGCCTCGGCTGGAGTCCAGCTCTGAGGTCACCGGCGGGGACCTCGGGCTCCCCTCCCAGTCCTCGGCCACTGCTGCTCGGGTCGGGCCACATCCAGCGACCATCACGCCTTTGCGAAGGCAGTGTCCGCCGGGCACAGAACGGCGCCTTCCGACCCCAGCCTCTCCCTCCGTATGTCAGTTCTCATGCCGTGTCTTTTGCTTTCAGGGCAAGTTTCTGGCTTTTTATCAGTATGCAAAATCATTTAATTCCGATGACTTTGATTACGAAGAGCTGAAGAATGGAGATTACGTCTTCATGAGGTGGAAGGTAAGGCCCCACCGAGGGCGGTCTTCCGGCCGTGCCCGGGCCCGCGCCGGTCCTCACGCGGTGCCTGTACACGCTCACGACGGCAGGCGCAGCTCCAGGCCTCGCCGGCAGGCTGCTGCCCTCCCAGGCCGTTTCTCTCTAAACTGGTGGTGGTCAGCTCATGAATTCGTGGCCGGGGGGCAGTCCCCCGGGTGTCCTGTGGACTCGGGAGAGCTAGACTCAGTCACCCGTCACCTCCCGTTCGCAGCCACGGGCTGAGACCCCTTTAAGGGACCGTTCCCTCACCACGTCCTTGCCGAAGGCTGGTGCAGTCTCAGCTTGTCTGGTTCCCTCCAGCTCAGGAAATGAGGGACCAGGAATGGAATTTGGGTTTTCCACTCACCAGCCCTCAGAGAACTGCATCTGGCTGGACTCGACAGATTGGCTTTGGGGCTGACGAGGCTTTTGTGCTCCCTGTTTTGATAGCATGTTAGTTACGGTGTTCCAGCTGCAGGATAGCAAACTCATGAAGCAAGTGCGTGAAAGCGCTTTGTGAATGGACAGCCACTTCCAACCGCTGCTCCCCAATCTGTGGGGAAAAGCTGTTGTATCTTGAAATCTTGCCAGCTCTCCTGAAAGCCAATCACTGAGAGTAGTGATTCCCAATCTTTTTTTTTTTTTTAATGTTTATTTATTGTTGAGAGAGGGAGACTGAGTACCAGCGGAGGAGGGTCAGAGAGAGTGAGACACAGAATCCGAAGCAGGCTCCAGGCTCTAAGCTGTCATCACAGAGCCCCATGCGGGGCTCGAACCTGTGAATTGCAAGATCATGACCTGAGACCAAGTCCACCACTTAACCGACTGAGCCACCCAGGCAGCCCGGTGGTTCCTAGTCTTTAGTGTGTATAACTAGTAATTTTGCGGGCGGGGGGGTCATCGCTTTCTGAGTGGATGCTTGCCAGGTGTGGGGGGTCAGAGTGGAGTCCGGCCCTTGCAAGCTTTGCCATCTAGTGGGAAGTGCGCCAGTGAGGTAACACCTTGGAGGAGGTATCTTGCAAGGTTCTAATTTTAAAATTAGTTTTAGAAACTACCATTCAGAGGTTTAGGAAAGGGAGGGACGAGAACATCTTGAAAACAAAACCGTAGAGTTGGGCACCTGGGTGGCTCGATTTCGGCTCAGGTCGTGATCTAGAGGTTTGTGAGTTCATGCCCCACACCGGGCCGTGCACTGCCAGTGCGGAGCCCGATTGGGATTCTCTCTCTCCCTCTCTCCCCCTCCCCTACTCTGTCTTTCAAAATAAATAACCTTCAAAAACATTTAGAAAATAAAAATAAGAAAACAATATAGTTGTTTGGTGTCTAGATAACTTCTCGGGGTGACTCACTGTGAGCTTTTAGGAGACTGCCTGGGGCCCTGGGGCCACTGACTTCATTTCACTGGGCCAGTAGATCCTTTCAGCCTGGCTCCAGCCAGAGATGACCAGCTCACCTCTTCCCAGGGTGGCTGAGCGAGAATAGCACCGCTCTGATGGCTGTTGCTGAGGCGCAGAGCTGTTTGAGGGGGTGTTACAGGGAGAGCAGAGGTTGATCTGCCCTTGGGGTGAGGTGACTCAGCGTTCCAGACGTGACCAGGAGCTTAGCACCAGTCCCTGGGCTGGAACAGAGACCTCCCTCCCTGGGTCCTTCTGTGTGTGGGCTCTGAAAGGTAGGGAGGGCGGGAGGGAGATGTGTAGACCCTAGGACCTTCTCTTCATTGCTGATCTTAGTGAGCTCAAGACACAGGCTGCTGTGTGAGCATCCAGAATACTCGAGCAACACACGGATGCTGTTGGCAGCTTGGGTTGAAACGCAGATGTCGGCCGTCGTGCAGCAAGTCTGGGAGAGGCTGGGTGACCGTGGGCCCTTAGAGCCACCCGCAGGCACCCTGTCCATCCCCGCCCGTCCCTGACCTCCTCCGTCTGTGTGCAGGAACAGTTCCTGGTCCCAGACCACACGATCAAAGACATCAGCGGCGCTTCCTTTGCTGGGTTCTATTACATCTGCTTCCAGAAGTCGGCAGCCTCCATAGAGGGCTACTATTACCATAGGAGTTCAGAATGGTAAGGAGCCCCAGAGGCGCGGGGGGTGGCTTGCTGCTGTGCCCCTGGCTCTCCCTTGGCTTGCCAAGCCAGAAGACGACCCCTCCCCTGTCTCTGCATGGCTTTCGTGCTCTGCATGCGGAGGGCCTCTCCACGCACTCGCGCTTGCTCGTATGAGGGCCCTGTCCCCATGCACGGAGCACAGGCAATAAGATGAAACTGAAGTGCTGGGTAAAGGAACTCATTGCCGACAGCTTTCAGGCAGTTCTGTCTCATCGGCCATGTCGCTCCCAGTCTTGCTGCTCTCATATTTCTTCCCAAATTTAATCAGTAACTACAATGTAAAAGCCAACTATGAATTTTGCTGGGGCGAAGTTTGCTGTTAGCACCCTTTTTGATTCTGTGGTCACCTTTCTCAGATGCTGGTCCCACGTGCAACTGATCTCAGTCTGGTGACCGAGGGGCCCCCATTGAGCTGGCGGTCCTGCCCTGTGTCTCACCTAAGGTGTAGGACTGACAGTCACCTCAGGTGCTAGCTTTTGTCACCTTTTGGGGGGAATCTTCTGCCCCCTCACTGCCTCTCAGAGCACCTCGCTGTACCTGAAGAAGGGGCCGTACCATAAAATACCTGCTTTCTTCTGAATGCAGAGGCGCCTTAGTCCCTTCCACGGTTTTCACACTTCGGTGACTTGTGAGTGACGCCGCCCCGGGTTGACTCAAATCCCCTGTTCAGTGGCAGCAAAATGACAGCTACACATGTATGCCCGCACTCAGGGCCGACTCAGCCCCTTGAGAGCCACAACTAGTAGGGTTCTGGTGCTCATCCCGTTTCCAGAAGCTGTTACATCCTGTTTTCTATGACCGCTTTACTGAGGTAATTCACGTACTGTTCAGTTCGCTCATTGACCGCATTCGAGTCAGGGGTCCTGTGCAGCCGTCGCTGTACTCAATCTACAGACGTTCTCGTCGCCATAGGGAGAAGCCCTGGTACCCCTGACCATCAGCCCCGACCCCCGTCCCCTCCTGGCCTGAGGCAACCACTAATCTGCTTTCTCGCTGTGTGGATTTGCCCGTCTGGGTGTTTTATATAAATGGAGCCGTACTCTGCGGCCTTCGCATCTGGCCTCTTTCACTCCGCATAATGCTTGAAGCTTCAGTAGTGTTGCAGCAGGCGTCAGCGCTCCCCATTTTTTTAAAAAATATTTATTCTTGAGAGACAGAGTGTGAGTGGAGGAAGGGCAGAAAGAGAGGGAGACACACAATCCCAAGCAGGCTCCAGGCTCTGGGCTGTCAGCACACAGCCCGACACAGGGCTCGAACCCACAAACCGTGAGATCGTGACCTGAGCCAAAGTCGGTGCACTTAACCGACTGAGCCACCCAAGCGCCCCCACACTCCCCATTTTTATGGCCGAATAGTTTTCCCTGGCCTGGCTCCACGGCAGCCCCTCCTTCTCCATGGTTTTACTTTCTGCAGTTTTAGTTCCCCGCGGTCAGCTGTAGCCCAGAAGCAGCGGAGTGTCCTCCTGACGTCGGAAGGTCAGGGGTAGCCTAACAGGCCGTCACAGCAGCTCTGTCATTCCGCACTTCACCCCTCACACAGCCGTCTCATCACGTCACATCCTCACAGGGCACGAAGGCATTTTAAAAGAGAGCCTACTTTCACGTAACTTCTATGGCGGTATATCGTCAGAGTTGTTCCGTTTCATTACTAGTTGTTGCTGACCTCTCACTGTGCCTGATTTATATTGTACTTTGTCGTGGGTATGTATGTACAGGGAAACTCGTACTATATATACAGGGCTTGGTGCGATCCACGGTTTTCAGCATCCATCGGGGATACTTGAGCGTATCCCCCACAGATAAGGGGGGGTCACTGCACCACATTTTACTTATCTGTTCATCAGTTGCTAGGCACTTGGGTGGTTTCCGCCTGGTGTGAATAATACTGCTGTGAACAAGGGTGTGTAAGTATCTGAGTCCCAGCTTTCAGGTCCTTTGGGCATATACCAAGAGTGGAATTGCTGGGTCGTACAGTAATTCTGCGACTTTTTAAAGAACCATCACCCTGTTGTCCAGAGTGGCTACACCCTCATATGTTCCCGCCAGGGCCCAAGGGCTCCAGCATCTCCACCTCCTTCCCAAGGCTTGTCACGATATCTTTATGGTTATAGCTCTTCTAGCTCATGTGACATCTACGGGTGGCTTGTGGTTTTGATTCGCATATTCCGATGGCTGATGCATGATCTTTTTTTGAGTTTTGTTTTTGTTTTGTTGTTGTTGAGAAATAAACTGCTTTATCCCGTGCTCCTCCTCACTCCTCTGTGAAGCAGGTAAGGGGAGAGCTAACGTCTACACTGTCAATGCTGACTTGTCCCTGGGGGTTATCATCCCCGCGTGTGCGTTGTCCCAGCTTCTGTTTCCACCTCATCTGCGTAGCTCCTCGGAGCCACCTGCCGACGGGGCAAAAACGAGCACGTCAGAGCTCTGACGTTCTCAGAGTCTAACAGCCGTGCCTGTAGGGAAGCGAGAAAATGAAGCCAAATGGTCAAATAAGATTTGTGGTTAGCGAGGAAGTCATCTCTTCCATGGCCTGTTTGCATCCCACGAGAAGCGGGAAGTGCCCGTGTTACCCACAAAGTCCTGATGACGTACAGGGGGAGCGGGGGCGCTGGTTCAGACATGGCCGAGCGGAGGGTGTGGATGAGGCCCGGGGCCTCGCTCTGGAGCTTCTCCCACAGCTTACTCCGCCTCTGCTCTTACAAGACATACCGTAAGGGCTTCGTGGTCAGAGGAAAAGGGACAGGCCTAAAGACAGCGCCTCCTATGCCCCGTTCGGGGGATTAACCAAAGAAGCAGGAGTCAACCACACTCGGTTCCAGTGACGAGGCCTGAGATGAATTCGCGTTCCAGCCCAGGAACGTGGCCTGGCAGGCACTCCGGCGGCGGGGAGGGTTTTTTGAACACCCTTTGTTTGGTGACCAGGATGCTCAGACTGCCTACCGTTTCTCTCTTTCCCCGTGTTGCAGGTATCAGTCACTCAATCTAACTCACGTCCCCGAACACAGCGCGCCCATCTATGAGTTCCGGTGACAGCGGTTCAGAGCAGGAACCAAATAAAACTGAGCTTGGCAAAAAAGAGCTTTGCCAAGAAAATTGTGTACCTGCCAGAACCAGGAGAACGTTTCTGTGTGTTCCTGTTTCTTCACGAGCAGACTCGCGTCGGAAAGCATGAATGTTAACCCACAGAATCCAAGGAGCACGGCCAGCCGACGGCCGTGGAGGGGGCGTGCTCCGTGCTTCTTCCCGCTCTGTGGCAGTTTGCTCTTAATCTGTTTTAAGCTACCTTAAATGCACTTTTCCTTCCTGCACAGCTAACTTCTGTATCACTGAAAGGCCCATTCCTTCTTCCGTCCCCACCTCCAGCCGAGTAGAAGGTCAGCCCCCCAGTCACCCTTGGCCTCGGTGCTCAGCAGTCTCGGCCCAGGCCCTGGCCCTGTGCCCCCCTACCCCCAGTAGCTCAGTCTGGTAGCTCAAGAGATGGCAGAGGCCCCGCACACGTGTGCCCCCCCCAAAGCTCAATGAGACGTGAGGCGGAGGCCGACGGCCTAACGGGGTCACCAGGTGCTGGCCAGCCGGGCCGTGCTCGCGCCAAGCTCGTTAGGGGCTGGCAGCTTCCCTGGGCCTGCCATCCGGGATCATGAGATCTAAGGCTTCCAGGTCCCTGGCAGGAACAGATCCCAGTCCTGCTTACTCAGCACGTTTGCTCCAAACTTTTGAACTTGAGGGCAATACTAAACTTAAAAAAAAAAAAAAAAAAAAAAGAGTTTTTTTATTACAAAATTATTTTTATGGTCCCTTTAACAAGGACCCTATGGCAAATGCACAATTATTCAGAATTACATTTTATCGTTTTCACATTGAAAACTGCAAATGTTGACTTAGTAATTTTTATACCTATATCTATATGTAAATGTATATTTAATCAACCAGCAGTTTAAAACTAGTCATTCTGGTACAAAAGTTTTGCAGCATTGCATCAGTTCTAGTGCTAAACTTGAGAGCTGTTTTTTGGGGTCAGTTTAGCATTTGTACCTCCTCCTTTTGCTACTCAGAACAGCAGTGCTTCGCGGTGACCTTTTCCATCAAGCGGAAGGGGCCGCCATGCTCCTAAAACAGCGACGTGGAAACGTTGGGGCGGGGGAGGGGCGGGAACGTGAACACCCTCGAATAACTCAAGGCTCACGTGCCAAAGTGTGTGTGTAGGTGTGGGGTTGGGGTGGGGTGTGGTTTGGGTGGGGGGGTTCTTTTTGTTTTTGTTTTTTTTAATGTTTAAAAAGCTTAGTAGGTTGGCATCAGTTGTAGACCGCAGATGTCAGCCGGGCTCTGGGGCATCGCGTTTGCTGGCGGTTTACAAGACTCACTCAGAATACAAGACCGAAAGCTACAACCCACAGGAGCAACACAGGCTGCAGACCCATGTAAGGAAACACGAGCCCCCTCGGTCTAGCTGAGCAGTGGGGAAACGTCATCTTCTTAAAAAGTGATTTTCCTTTTGATGACATATGTACTGTATGTTACTGAGACTGAATGTCGGTGAAACCTTAAAGGAGAGATGCCTGGGCATCTAGTCAGTAGGCAGCGGGACACCCAGGACGTGTAGTCCCAAGGCTTTGTGCAGAGGTGAGACTGACCGATCTAGTGAGGCCAGGATTTTGGAGCCCCAGAACATTCCCCCTGGCGACTGCAGTGGAAAAATGATTCATGTCCGTTCCCAGAGAGGAGTCAAATGGTCTCTTGATTCTGAAACTCCAGAAGGCATCGGGACGGCTGGCTCTGGTCACACTGGCCGACTGCACAGTACCGAGGACACCACGCTCGCATGGCCTCAGTTTGGCAGGCAGGCGTCCCTTGGCAGTAAAGGAGACTGTGAGGCCGCGCTGGCCTTCCCAGGCTGCACGTGCCGTCCATTTCAGCCCACATCCCCTCTCATGGCTGGCTCCTAAATCTTGTCTGCCTGTCGCAAGCTCCTTGAAGGATCTAGGCCCCACTCGGCACCCAACGAGGGGTGAGCTCATCGGGGCCCGGGACGTGTGGCTCGGAGGTCAGCCAGTCAGTCAGCGGGCAGGGAAGGCCGTTTGGAGATGTTGCTGCTGTCCAGCTAGCCAGATGGGCTGGGTCCCGTTGGGGGACCGCTTCCTCCCTTCCTTTCTTAGCCAGGTAATGAAGTTGCACTGGGGAAAATGAAGAAGTGATACCTTTGCTAGATCTTTCGGGCACGTCCGTGATGAAGATTTGCTTGCATAAAAATCCGCCCGTTGAGGACAGGGAAGGGATTCTTTGCCCACCTCCTCTTAGTAGTTCCCAAAGAATCCACACCAACTCCTTTTCTTTCTCCCAGTTCCCCAAGGAACGTTGGGGGATCATCCCCATCTGTGGTTATTCTTTCCAGAACCTCCTCAGTGGTTTACGTGCCTCTGGTACTACGTGCAATAGTTTTGGCTGACGCTTGTATTCATCATCGTTAAGAAATCAGTGCAGGATGCAGATTTTCTACCGTCTTCCTCCGCCCCAAACAAACCTGCCGTGAGGTGGGATCCTATGGATTTGGCTGTTCTTTCCACTGCTCAGAAAGCTTCCATTCTGCGCCCCCAGCCTGGTCTCTGCTGTGCCGGTATTGTCCCTTCCCTCCCGCTCACCCACCCATCCTCTTAAACTTTACGGCATTTCAGCTGCAGCCCAGAAGTAACTAAGCAATCCCTCCCATGAAGCAGAAAGTCCTATCTGTGCTGGTTTGTGGAAATCACAAACTCCAGGGGAGCAAAGGGGCTTTTCAAGGTCTTTTGCTTTCAGAAACAGGGAATTTATATTCTAAGGCCTTGAATTGATTTTTTTTTCCTCATAAAATAGTCTGATAAGCTAATTTTTAAAAAAGAAATGCCATTCAGTATGTTGCATTGCGGTTTAAAACTACTAACAAGTTCTGGGAAAGAAAAATATTTGATTTTGAATCTTACATGTTTTTTTAAAATTAGATTTGAATGGGCACAAAGTATGAGTATTTTGTTTCTTTAGGGAGGACACGTGGAAAGGGTTTGAGGGTCTGGGATGGGAGAAGTATTTTGCAGAGCTATCAATGTCCAAATAATTTTTAAAAAATAATAAAGGTATTTAAGCAGTGACTTTGTCCTATTTCTGTTTTTTGGTTTGTTTATTTGAGAGAGTGAGCGAGCACGAGTGGGGGAGGGGCAGAGAGCACCCCAAGCAGGCTCCATGCTGTCGGCACAAAGCCTCACACGGGGCTCGATCTCACAGACTGCGAGATCACAACCTGAGCCAAAATCAAGAGTCGGACCCTTCACAGACTGAGCCACCCAGGCGCCCCATGTCCTATTTCTAAATTAAAACCGTTCTGGTAGAAAAATCCAGCCCCCTTTCTGGCCCTGTGTCTGTGGAGGTTTCCAAGCCGAGGCCCCTCTGGGAAACTGATGCGGTCCATGTCCTTGTCCCTCCTCATTTCAGTGTTGAGCTCCGTTTTGTTAATTTCTACACTTCTTTAAACAGGTGGAAGCATTTTTTTTTTTTTGCATGTGTTTACCACTTATGCTTTTATGTAACAGGGAGAAAATAAACAGAGGTATTTGGTCACTGGCTGCTTCCCCGTCCAGTGTGGGCACCGGCAAAGTGCATGGGGACCGGTCCTCAGAGGAGGTGCCTGAGCCCCAACGCACAGGGGCTCCCAAACGGCTGCACCTGCAGTGTCCTGAAGCCAGATGTCAGCGGCAAGTTCACGCCCTTGTGTTCTCTGCATCCTGTGGCCGAGGGCCCTAGCCCAGCCAGTAATGCCAGACTCTGATTTTTGCAAACCACCCCGACGGGCGTGCCAGAACACCTTGGCTCTCTTGCTATACAGTGTTAGGTTTCTGGTACCACCTCCTGAGGCAGGGCCAAGGAAAGCAGCTGGAAACCCCATGTGAATTCTGAGAAAATGTTTATAACGTTGAAAAGGTTTAATGTTGAGTCAGTTGAAACGCTAAGTGAACTTATATCCATGTCATGGCACAGTTGCTGTGTGTATATAAAGTATCATCCGATCTGCTGTTCCAACAACAGTGATAATAAACTTCCTCCAATACGTGTCAAGAAAGGAATCAGCTGTTCACAAGGCTGACTATGACTGAAGACACCATTTGCTGGTGGTTTTGTAGGGGGAGTAAGCTGCGGGATGCCTGGGTTCTCCCTCCCAGATCTACCTTTAATTCCTAGAGGGACCTCCTATGTACCAGCTAAATAAACCCTCTGAGCCTGGAAAGCAGAAGGAACAGTCTCAGAGAGTTTGAGGGGTTCGAGGAGGTGCTCCAAGAAGCGCTTGTTAAACGATATAAATGCTCCACCCATGTAACATGTCATTCTTGCTCGGATAATGATACAGAGTATTGGCTGAGGCTTACCATGTGCAAGGTGCCATTCTGAGTATTGGGGCAATGCAGAAGCAAGCTAACCCCAGGCTGCGGGCCTCAGGGAACTAACAAGAATAGAGTGGAAATTGACATCTTTCTGATCCCCACAGAAGGCAAGGCTTTCTGTCTTCTCTCAGTGCTAGGTTGCCACGTTTAACCTTCAGTGCACTTTGCTTTTAAGTCATCCCTGGGGATGGTGGACAGTGTGTGGATGGTAGCAGGCGTGAAACCCTCTCGCTGCAGGACAGGACAAGGGGGAAATTATAAATATCAACGCTGCCTGCATCGACCTCAACTGCACCTGAGGAGGAAAGCATTAAAATTGCTCGGTAATGAAACAGGCAGCTGGCTTTGACATAGAAAAGTGCCTGAAAATTGGATTGCAATTGAGCAGCTCTTTCTTCTAGGTTTTTCTTCCAAAACATCTAAAGACTGAAACTCCCTGCTTGCAAATAGCAAGCAAAACTATTTCATTTGTAGAGAAGCAGAGGCTGAAATTCAAGTTCATTTTGCCATTTTTTCCCCCCTTCTGATTTTTCAGCTTGCTTCATCCATCGGTCCTCATTCCTTTCCCAATTTGCTCACTGAATAGCTCCTTACTTCCATGCCTTCTTGAACTGGCATTGACTTGGAGCAGTGCTTCTCAAACTCCATTGAACATCAGAATCACTTAATTCATGTAAAATTCTTTTGTCCCACAGGGACCCAGACCAGTTCTGTCACCACCTCCTGAGTGCCTTGAAGTTCCCAGGTGACTCCGGTGTGCAGAGAAGGGCTGGGCGTCCCACAGAAAGGAGAGAAGGGCTGTCAAGCTTGGGACGTTGGTTTACTGAGTGTGGAGGCAACATGGGTTTTGTTTTGTTTT